GGGGGGGGAGGGGGGATTTATATAGAAAATATACTCCATTGACTAACAAATGAAAATTTTTTATTTTCCTAGAGCTATGTATTGTCTGATGTGCTGGAAACTCAGAGAGCAAAGCTTGTTAAAAAACTTGAAGAAACTAAATCTTTTGAAACAGTCAAGGAAGCTCATGAGCAGGTGACATATTTATAGCCCCCCCCCCCCCCCTCACTTACTCTCCCTCTCTTGTACCTATATATTTAAAGCTGAGAACAAGGTCAGCCGAACTACATTTTCCTTTAATCTCTATAAAAAATGCATTATTCATTTATGTTCACTTTCTATAGACATTTTAGGAAATTTCTTTATTTACCAAAATTTTCTACAGAGACTGCAAGAACGTAAAGTAGAGTTAAAAGATCTTCCGTAGTGGCTACAATTTCAGATCTTGACGAAACAATTGTTAATTTTTCTTTAATGCAAGCTGTACCTATGATTATTTATTGACAGTAGCACAGTGTGCGGGGCTAAAACATCCCCCCCACAGCTCGTGGAAATCTCATTTACAATGCGCCATTCATTATATCTGAAGCATTCAGATGTTATATATAAAAGAAAACTATTAAAAGTTTTTGGGTCTAGATTATAAAAAGTTTGTATCTCAAATGTTACAAAGATTAGACAAGGCCTTTAGATTAAATATGAAGAAAAGAAGTAAATATTTTGCTATTTACAGATTTTTAAATATCTTAACATATAAAATCATATTAGTAGTATTAGTAGTATTAGTAGTACAATCTCTAATGACCTCCAAAATGAAAAGGTTTTAACTATGGCTGTATGTATATCAAATGAAAGCTAGGAACCCAGGGAATACAGTAGCAGCTACGAATTCAGTGTTGACCTTCTAATGACCTCCTAACGATCATCTCTATTGACCTCCAAAATGAAAATGTTTTAACATGGCTTCATGCATATCAAACGAAAGCCAGGAACCCAGGCAATACAGTAGCAGCAACGAATCCATTGTTTGACCTTCTAATCACCTATAACGACCTTTAATGACCTCCAAATTGAACCCTTGCTGTCTAGTTTCTGACCGATGTGTCTGCCCACATATTCCTGTTGAACCCGAAGGTTCTGAGTATTCTCAAGGATCTACTTAAAACCGCCTTGGCCTTCACAGACACTGTCACAGTTAATCCGCAGGTTACAACTCATCAGTTACTACATATTTTTGTATTTTCTGGTTCTCACTTTATCTAATAAATAATGCTTATTTTTAGGTTTACATATTGAATAAAACAGAAAAGCAAACTATAGAATATTTTGACTGGATAATTACAGATAAAGAGATATTTAAAGATTTTGATCGAATGGAAACCGATAAAGTAAAGGTTGAAAGCTAATGATTTGATTAAAATATATGCAGCAAATATTTATAGGAAATAAGATTGGATAAAATTAAAAACGAAAAGAAAAATTAGATTTAGATTGACTTAAAAAAAAATTGCAAATCTTTAAAAGATTTTACTTTTCCATAGTTTGAAAGATATACATTATATAGTAAAATCCTAGAATATATTAAAATATTTTAATTTGAAGCTGACTCTTTAAATATATACATATGTTAGGGAGCTGCTGGAATATGTGAGGAATTAAACCTGAAAGCTGCTCTTCTCCTGCAGCTTCTCACCAGCATGAGGCAGAAGCTCCAGGGCAGCCATCTTGCTCAGCTGCTTCTTAGGAATAAACCTTGCTGCTTTTAGTTAAATTCGATCAACTTTTCATCTTAAAGGGACTGAAAGTGTATTTTCAAGTGACCTTCCATGCAAAGATTACAATGCCTGATTCACAAGGGTACCCTTAAAAGCTTTGTCTGAAATTATTTTCGATTGTGGGTTCTCTACAAAAGTGACTTGCGCATTTCTACTGCTGGGAAACATATATAAATCAACATAATTAAATACCTTATAAGGGAGTGACCGGCAATGTATGGTAGTTGAATCGTTTTGTGGAGACCTTTTTGTAGGTCTCATTTGAGACATATAATACGATTTTACGGTTCATATTTGTTCAGCAAAAGCAAAAATTCAATCTTTAAAATCTTAATAGATTGTTTATTTTGAGAGATGATTTTGCGTATTGGTTTTAAAAAAAGATATTCCATAACGACGACGAAAATGTAGTAAAAATTCTACAACAAATTGTTCAGTTGTTTAGAAATAGGTAGAGAAAATATAAACGAATTGTTATCATCGAAAATAATTATTATTTACTTATCTTATTGTTTACAAACTTTTTTATTGAAAAGACGGCATTTTAAGAATTTGAAGAAACAAATTCTTAAAGAATAAGAAATTCAATTTAATGAAAAAAGAAATAATTGATTCTAATTTTGATTCATTGAGAAAATTTCAATTGGGAAATATGAGAAATTTTTAACGTCGACTTTTCGCTCAAACTTAGTAATTATACATTATTAAAACGTTTTTTATGTCTCAAATAAATTCTAAATAATTTATCCACAATACTACATTCTCAGTTCAACTTCCATACATTGCCTTTAAACATAGAAATACGACAGTTCTAAGGTTAATTTTTGCATTGAAGAACTTACACAGTCCTTATAAACCCACTTCGGGACTTTGTTTGTAGAAAAGGGAATAAACTTGCAATAATACCTATTTTGAATATAAACCGCCTAATGCTTTTAATTAAAAATTAACTTTTGAACGGCCCTAAATTTCTTTACTTGGAGAAAAGAGGAGGGTGGAGAGAGCAAAATGATTTTTCGTGATTTTTACCCCCCCCCCCCCNAATACTTAGATTTCATTTTATTGGAAAGGCATTCTTCATTAATAGAAAAGTTTACATTTTTATATGGCATAAATGTTTTACTTCATTTTATGAATCTGAAATTTTGAGAATATAAAGGTCTGGAAGCTTTTGATGAATTCATCAAATTATTGGGAAAATATTTTTTTCATGCTTCTATGCTTTGGTCCCATTTTCTGGGTTTTTTGTATGTTACTGTAGAAAGATATTTACGGGAGGTTGCTTTTTTGTCAATAAGAAATTACCGATATTTCTATAAAAAATATACGCGTAAACTAGGTTTATTCTTATTCAGATTGGACTATAACAGATACTTCTCTTCAACCAAGAAAATATCATCAGTCGTAACATCTGACTAGTTGATAGTCGTTATACTGACTAGTTGATAGTCGTAACATCCGACTAGTTGATAGTCGTAACATCTGACTAGTTGATGACTAGTTGATAGTCGTAACATCTGACTAGTTGATAGTCGTAACATCTGACTAGTTAGCAGAATTGTGACCACCTGCGGTTATGTTGGTTGTGATATCGGCAGGATTATTGATATAAATTGGATTCTGAGCTAATGGCGAAAGATTGAAAAGGGTTTTGAAAATGATGCTGCATTTATTTCATTTAGACTTTTCTTTCATTTTCGCAATGAGTTTTTATTTCCTTAATTTTGGCTGTGAAAACGTAATGTATCTACTCAATAAAATATTTTTGTAAATATTTGTTATTCTAGCATAAAATGTACGAAAAGTACAAAAGTTTATATTCTATAGAGAGTTAGCTTTTACTTTCATTATTCGTTTTATCAATTCCTTTAAATAAAAAAGTACTTTTCAGTTGTTAGGTGGTTCACTAATATCTACGATAACTGAAAAATTGCAGAATCTTATTCTCCAAGTTTGGTTTTATCAAATTATGCAATATGTTAACTTTGGCAGAATTATAAGATATTAACGGAAGAAAAAGATTAAACCGTTAACGAACATCTGATTCATTTTTTTTCGTTGAGGCCTATATCTTCTTAGAGAGTCCAAATTTTCCCTACTGTAAAAAGAACAAACTTTTAGAGAATAAAATTGTTCAGATATCGTAGATATTTGTTAAACGGCTGAAAACCGAAAAAACTTAAATAAATATTTAATTAACCCCTAAGACAAGAAAAAATTACCAACATGCAGAAAAAAATTTCAATTTAACATACAAAAAACATAATGCAATTTTTTGTTTGAGTTTTAAAAAATGAGTTAGCGCAAGCACCTTTAAAAATCAACAATTACAAAGGGGGTCGATTTTTCAATTTTTTGGAAACATGTCAATATGGGTGTCTAAAATTGCGCCTCTAACCACTGAATATTGCCCGGGGGTTGATTTTTTTAATTGTGAAAATTGGTTGATCTTGTGCCAAATAAACTATTATCTTTGGAGAACTCCGACACATTTCCTCTAAAAAGTCCATTTTTTGCCTATACCTTATTAAATTTTTAACTGGTTTTATGATAAAATTTTTGAATTCAGTGTTTCAAGACGGATTCTTTGAAGAAAAAAAAGTTCTCACTTGCTCTAGTGATTTAATTTTTACAAAAACATGAATTTGAAAGTGAGAGAAAAAAAATATTTTGAAGACACGTGCTGGAAGAATCTGAAAAGTGCCAAATTGTCCCTCCCGTAATATAAGAACAATTCAAATTTAATTTGAATCTTGTCATTTAGGATTGATTTAACTGAAAACCACAGAAACCCATTTTAGAAAAGGGAAAAATGTATTTTCAATTTTTAAATGTGGCGTTTGAGTCACTTCTATTGTCTAGTGTCCATCCGAAGATATTTTATGCGTTTTCAGAAATGTTTTATAAATTTATTATGTATATGGAAGACTAAATTATTTCAGATAATCATGGCGCCTAAACGAAGATATTTTACTGCAACGACAAAGCCCAAGTTTAGTTGGATCGGGGAAGAAATTCAACCACCACCGCACATGGGAAGCAACGTCATTTTTTTAACCATTCCACTGGAGGTGCAACTGGGATATGGGGGGGGGGGGGGGGGGGACCAGTTTGTGAAGTGAAAATCAACAAATAATAAAGTGCGACTAGGAAAGGTAAATGATTTTTTACATGGAAAGAATTATGTCATTTTCCCGTGCGTAATCTTATTTTTCCATAATTTCATGGATTGGAGACCAATATCCCCCCCCCTCTCGTTGCGCAGGATTTAAAGTTTCATTAATTAATCTTGGTTCTTTATCGGGCTAAAAAAAAGTTAAATAAATTACTTTTTAATAATGAGTTGCCTTCAGAGAAAAGCTGCAGTCGGGTTAAAACATTACAAAGGATTCAGTTTCGGAGATCTAACAGCAGGGAATCACAAGTTTAATGCGTCCTAAATGATTTTAAGTTTTGTTACTACTGATTAATTTTTATACTATAAGATTAATTTTTGTTGCCAAAAAAAAAGTTAGCAATTTGAATCACGATGGTTCTGTTTAAAATATCCCCCCCCCCATTACGTTCTACTTGTGATTACGCCAGAGATTGGAGATTTTGTGATTGTAAAAAGTGAGGACTCATCAGAGGATATCTTAAGCTGTGATGTCGCAAGAATAGAAAGGTAATATTGGAAATGTAAAAAATAACTGGAAGAATTTTGAATTGTTCGCTAACTTAACGTTTTAGGTGACCTTATAATTAAAAAATATTACTAATTTTTATAAGAAACAGTCATAATCTTTATCGTTTGATCTTGATATCCAACTTTGACAACATTTGAATCAGAGGTAAGAGTGCTTTATCCCTCAATTTTATTTACCATGGAGGGTAGGACCACCCTGGATCCATATCTTAGTGGAATTGATTTAATCCGTAAGAATGTACAAATCATTATTAGTTACTTGATCTCAAGATTATTTTTCCTAAAGTTTCCTTTGTAAAAGTTTCTTAGTTCGTGTTGCTTAAAGAGCATCGGACTCAGACTGTCGCTACTGAATATTCAAACGAAAATTCAAAAACATTTTGTTGCAAATAATAAGTCAATTGTCAAGCATCCAAACCTGCGATAATAATTGTAAAAATATTGAGTTTAATGCCTCAAATTATTAAAGGTTGTATGAGGACTGTTATCTATCGGGAGATCCTTACAGAGTTCATGTTACTTGGCTGTGTAGACCCAAGGATCTTCCCAAGCAGGTCAGTTAGCTAGGCGGTCAGAATGTAGATCAGTTATCTAGGAGGTCAGAATGTAGGTCAATTAGCTAGATGATCAGAATGTAGGTCAGTTAGCTAGATGATCAGAATGTAGGTCAGTTAGCTAGGAGGTCAGAATGTGGGTCAGTTATCTAGGAAGTCAGAATGTAGGTAATTTAGTTAGATGATCAGAATGTAGGTCATTTAGCTAGATGGTCAGAGTGTAGCTCAGTTAGATAGATAGTTAGAATACATGTCAGTTAGCTAGATGGTTAGAATGTAGGTCAGTTAGCTAGATGGTCAGAATGTAGGTCAGTTAGCTAGATGGTCAGAATGTAGATCAGTTATCTAGATGGTCAGAAATAGGTCAGTTATCTAGATGGTCAGAAATAGGTCAGTTAGCTAGATGATCAGAATATAGGTCAGTTAGCTAGATGGTCAGAGTGTAGGTCAGTTAGCTAGATGGTTAGAATTCAGGTCAGTTAGCTAGATGGTCAGAATGTAGGTCACTTAGCTAGATAGTCAGAATGTAGGTCACTTAGCTAGATGGTCAGAATGTAGATCAGTTAGCTAGATGGTCAGAATGTAGGTCAGTTAGCTAGGAGGTCAGAATGTGGGTTAGTTAGGTAGATGGTCAGAATGAAGGTCAGTTAGCTAGATGGTCGGAATGTAGATCAGTTAGCTAGGAGGTCAGAATGTAGGTCAGTTAGCTACGAGTTTTGAATGTAGGCAATTTATAATTGAGTTTTTAATCTAGGTAATTTTTAATGGAGTTTTGTATGAAGGTAATTTATCAAGGAGTTTTGAATGTAGGTAATTCATGAAGAAGTTTTGTATGTAGGTAATTTATAATGGAGTTTTGAGGGGAGTGGTCGGGGAGGGTCGGGTCGGGGCGGGGAGGGGGTGTCTGAGTGTAATGTGTTAAAGGCTGGGGAAGTGGGAAATTGGCATCAAGATCGTTTAATATAAACTAAAACTAAATCGTATATTTTCTTGCGGACAGATTTAGGTAAGTACAGACTTAACTTGATTTTTTTTGTAATGTCGTTAATTAGTGGATAAACTTTAATTTTTCAGGTTTTAATGGTAAGCAAAGAGAAATTTATATGTATTTTCATATTATATTTTTCCGTTCCAGTTAGAATTGAAATTATTCTATTTAAGAAAGAATTAATCAATCGGACTCGAAACACTGGAAATATATATTGATATATTGTAAAATCAAATATTAATCTTATTAGTTTTTTAAAAAAGTATTTTTGTTGAACTATTTAACTCTTAAGAACTAATCTTGATTCGTTCACACGGTCTTCGTTTTAGAATACATTTATTTTTTCTTCGAGTTGAAAAATTCCAATTTAATATTTTTTCCTTCTAAAATCGTTATATAAGGTTCAGAGTTTATATTGTTCTTATTGTACATGGTACAAGGCTTTTCAGACGCTTCTCACCCCTTTTCAGTTTCAAATGTTGCTCTCCCATATTATTTATTGTACATAATGAAACTAATTTACAGATTTTCCTGTTTTTATTGGTAGATAAAAGAAAAATAAAAAAAATATGACTTAACCTGAAAAATTCCCTGAGGTCACTTGTGGTTTTACAAAAAAAAATATATTTACAGTAAAAATTAAACGTTTTTATTTAGTTGAGTAAACATGATTTCAAGGAACAGGGTGCTCCAGCTCTTGACCATAGGTAAGATACAGTGCTAACCAGAAAAACAGGAAATATTTGTCGTCGTTAATTTATTTCTAAATTCTAACCGATGTTTTGCCTAAAATGGGCTCTGAATATTTAAAGAAATTACCAGTTATGACAATGACGAATCCCTAGCAGCATTTATTTGACAGGGAGAAGGAAGACGACAGTCATTCAAGTTTTTAAATTATTGATTTTTACGTCTTTGTCAAGTAAACTATCAGTTTTTTGAATAAAAGAACGCGCGAGAAATAATGTCTTATATCGAGAGAAAATTTATATTACAAATGGAAAAGATTTTTAAAAACACAGCCCAGATACAACTTTTATATTTCTTTTGACAATACTCATACAATGTTTCAGATTGGATCTGATTTTAGAAGCTAGAAACTTTGATACTAACATCAGTGCTGAGTCAGTTTATTTCAAGGAATACCAGACTTACACCGGCTTTAATCAATCAATCAATCAATCAATTAAAAAATGATTTTTGAAGTTGGTTTTGTGTATTTCATGCCTAAAATATTCATCCCTTAAACTATTGAATAATTCTTTTTTTTGGTTGATAGCAATTTTACAAACTCAAGAAAATTTAACCAAAATATTAATAACAAGAAGTGCTCTAATTCTAATAGTTATCGCCTATAACCATGGTTTAAACTTTAAAAAATCAGCCAGAGCTTTATTATATAGATTAAACAATAAATGATCAATAATTGATCGAAAAAACTATGAAATATCGGTGACCAACATGTTGGTTAAATGACTGTATTATCCTGCAGTGTAATGTGTTCCCTGAGCAGATCACCGTACACCCTGAATCCTTCATCAAGAGGAAACCAACTGCATCATATTTAAAGAGGGGGTGTGCCATTTTCAAGGTCTAGGATAGAACCGAGAATACCAATACCTTAGATCCACAGGTATTCAAACTATTAACATTAAGATGGGCATACATCTTTCACCAGCGCACCTCGTTTATACACTAGAGTCTTGCTTAATCTTATTTATTTAGTCTATAGATGCAGGAACAAGAGCTCTAAGCCGTGAAACTGAAAAACACAAAATCAGTCACGGTTAGATCATTTATATTATGAATATTAAATAAATCGTAAAATAATAAACATGTAAAGTTTGCTAATAAAATTTGCTCCAGGTGTGTAATGTGAATATTTCATGACATATTAATGTGATTTAAAAATGCACTTACAAAGTTGATTAGGCCGGAGGTTAACAGCTCTTTAGATCTTAGCTTGTAACCGGTTTTCCCTACGCAATAAGTTTTCAAAAAATGACGCAGTATTGGTTTTGATTAGATGTCCCGAGTCCAAACATCCAAATTATATTCTCAGATTCAAGCTCACATCAAACTCCAAGGGAAAAACCAAGTAAGATCAGAATTATTTACAACTTCTGTACGGGGAATTAAGGGAATTTTACTGTATCAAGGGTTCCCGGGACAAAACAAAACTGTTAAAATTGGCCCGAGGGAACCCGTGGTTAAGTTAAAATTTTATTTTCCCGAAAAAATAATTGTACATAACTTTTTATCGTCTTCTGGGATGAAAATGTGCGAATTTTTTCCCGAGAACTTCGCAGAGCGGGTGGTTTTTTTACGGAACTGTCCCAAGGGACGTCAAGTGACTTAACCTTCCTCTGTTGGGTGTAATGTTGGTCAAAAAGCGGTAAAGCAACTCTTTCAGCGCTTCTAAAGATTTCTTCTTTAGTTCTAAGTAATTTTAACTGTTTTATTAGGAGAAACTTTAATCTTGAACCCTACAAGGATGGAGGTTTAAGTCCACTGAAGCTCACAGCGTTGAAATCTCCGCTTAAGGAGCAGAAACTAGATAACAGGTACTATACTATTAATGCAAACGCCTATATTTAAAGGGACTCTAAGCGTAATTTTATGTGTCCTTCCATGCAAAGATGACCCTATTTACAACTGCATCTTTAAAACTATAATATGATCAAAAATGTGAAAGATATCGTTGTTTTCTGACTCGAATTGACTCATATTGATGAATCAGCCAAAGCTTTCAAAGGTACCGTTGTAAATTCAGTATTGCCATTTTTGCAAGGAGGGTCACTTGAAATTACGCTAACAGTCTTTGATGATTCATTATAAAAAACATTTAAGATAATCGTTCTTAAATTGTTATGCATTGTCAAATTTTATAAATGATTTTTCGATAAATTTTAAATTCTGAAAATTAGTGATCGCTTTTTACTGTTTTCTGGCTGATAAAGAATTTGTTTTAGATCTACGTTTTCTCGCGATGCTTCACCGGAGGTTGGCAAGATTGATAAGGTTCTTATCCCCGCTAATTTTGGTTTCCTCTTGGCTCAAGAGAATATCAAGATCGACAAAAAGAGGAGACGATTATCCAGTCGGGAATCTAGTCGGTAAACAGCCACTACTGGTTTTATTAAAACAGTGTCTTATCAATTAGACAACTGAGCATCATTCAATTAAACTAATTTTTCTATTTTTTTTAATACCTACTTTCAAGTTTCAAGTATTTTTACACACATGATGTAATCTCAATATTTGTGGGTAAGGTTAAGTTACGACAATTTCTGGGCCGAGCTCTGCGACTAAGACGTATGCCAGCTAAGGGGCCGGCGTTGCGGCCACAAATTGATAAGATTATTCAATGCCAATGTGTTTAAATAAGAATATTTTTAATAAACCTCTCATATTATGCGTTTTGTCATCAAACTAGTTTTATATTGTTATTGTTTTTGATGTTTTCTAGTATATTATGCGTAGGAAGAAAGTGTAATAATCAAAATTATTGTTATAATTTTAAAAGAAAAACCGTGGAATAGTTCAGTGTTGAATTCACGTATAGGTTTAGTTTATAGATTAGAACTTTGAACACGACAATCTTCTTATTTCTGATCTGGAATATTGGATTCTGTGTTTCACTAAGAAGGGTATATATTTTCACTAGTCAAACTTTGTTTTGAGAATTCACAATATTTTCGTTTATACTCGAGACTCAGAATCTGAAAAAGAAAAGTCACGGGTCCGAGTCAGGGCCCTGGATAGCTTCCTGGGCGGCCTGCTCTAGGACTTGGTAGAGGTCCAGCTCGCTCTCTCGGTGGACTACGACGACAGTCCTCACGCTCCTCCTGGTCTTCAGGAAGGTTTTCTCACCAGGATTTCGGTACTCCAGGGTTGCAGTAAGAGAGAGTCCATCTTCAGAGACATCAACAATCAGGACGCAGGGATTCTCCAGACAGGATCCCCCAGACGATGTTCAGCATCAGACTTCAGAAAGATGACAATATCACCCTCCTTGAGTTGCTCGTTGGTTCTTTTCCACTTAGAAGGCTGTGGGATAAAATCTACCAGTTTCTCATTTCTCCATACATCCCACCAAGCATCAAAAACCTTGTCCATCTGTTCAATCAGCCGTGAAGGTGTAGAGATTCTTGCATATCCAGAGAGAGCACGACGGTTATTTCGGCCAAGTATAAGACGACTCGGAGTAATCAAATCCACGTGATCAAGATTCTCAACATGAGATCCAAGGCAGATAGGCAGGTTGTTGAGCTCAGAGGCGATCCAGGCGAAGCAAGTTTCGATGGAAAGGATATCAAGTTTAAGTCCCTTATATACTTTGTTGAGAAGGGTTAGATTTTAACAGTAGATCTGTGCTGGTGCTCACATATTGCAACCAAAGGACCAAATAAATCAACCTGACAGCAGTAGAAGACTGGAGCAATAGTTAATCTAGACTGATGGAGTTTCCCACTTTCAACCTCAATAAGCTGGCTCCGATAACGTACACAGGGTCTGCAGGCTTTAAGAATGATAATCTCTTTGAATATCTTCCCAGGCTTCAGATATTTTCCAGAGGGGAAATTTAGAAGTGGTGTGAGGCATTCTCAACGCAGTTATCGTGGCTTGAGTATTAGGTTCGACCAGATCCATCCGGAACTGTTCGTCTCCACCATCTACAATAATAGTTTTACCTCCTGCTACATTCATAGTAGTTGGACCAGGGCGGATACACACGGAGTCAAGTAGTATAGCTCCGCGGTCAGATACAGCACATCCCATACAGCCAGAGTCATAGAAAATGAGAAGTCTTCTATTGTTTACAACATGGTGTTGGAGCATAAATATAGACGGGTCATCTACATCTCGATATACTTTCTTTCCGGTGGCGGAGACAGAGGCGGAGAACTGGTCTGTAGCTGGAGGAAGATCGACATTGTAGAACGCAGGGAGATTAAAGAAGAATGAAACTCCCGGTTTTATCTGAGCAGGATCTAACTTCGCAAGAAAATCATCATGAACCTTCTTGTTTTCAGCAACATGCCATTTACAGAGTGTAATGTGGTATTGCCGATTCTTAGGACGAGTTCCACACTTGTTTTGTTCACATACCCATTCTGATTGACACTGAACTTCATGGCGAGCTTCCCATTCAAGACGTTTATTTGTATCAATTTCTGCATCCATTCTTAAACAACGAAAGCAGGTGAGAAGTTTCTTAGCAACATTCAGCCTCTCACCAGATATATCTGCTTCGTAGAATTTTTCACAGAAGAAAGCATGAGTATGCTGACCCTGGCAGAGAGTACATGTCTTCATCACAGGAGGGACATAAGATTTAGAAACATATACCCCTTTGTTAGGTTTGTGTTGAGATTTCGTGGTTTTACCAGACGAGGCGGGGGCGAAGGCGGAGGAGACGGAAGAGGCGGAGGAGGCGGAGGGAGCAGTTGAAGAGGTGTAAGTTTTGGTCTTGGCGGCAGGTTTGGAGTTGGGAGGCGGAGCAGGCTTCTTGGGCTCAAACTTAGGTTTTGAGTATTTTTCATTATCAACTCCATAGTCGAGTTTGAATGAAAGTTTTTTGTTGAGAGTGGTGACCAGTGTGTCCAGATAATCAAGCATCATCTCGAACATGGTCCTGCGGGAGACTCTGCTCTCAATGGCGTTGACCTTCTTCTCAAACTTCTCGAGGAATTCTGTAGGGAGAGATTCCAGAACTTCCTTCACCAGAGTGTGAGTATAAAGATCCTCGTATAACCCATGTTTTACAGACAAATCTCGTAGATAGATGACGTGGGCTCGAACCTCGACAACCCATTTTCTTCGTTTCTCATTAGAACCGTAGCAGTTGCCTAGTTTTCGAATGGCTTCTACACGTTTATGGAACAAATCTGAGACATTACCGTAGCATTCCTTGAGATATATGAAGATTTCTTCAACCGAGTCCATATGACGACACGCAGCACGGGCAACGCCAGTCAAACTCTGGTGGGTGAGGATACGGAGCTGTTCAGCTTGAGAAGGGCCTTTGAGAGCAACGCAGAGATCCCAATCTTCACGGAATGAATAATAATCTAATTTATCAGTCTGTTCACCTGAGAATGTGGGAAATTTAGTTTCCAGACTTTTATCATCGCTAGAAATTCCATACTGATCCTTCAAATCCTGCACTGTATCAGCAAGATAGAACTGTTTTTTCTCCATCTCTCGATACAGATCCTCTAGCTTACGAGCTTCGGTCCTCAGATCACAATCCAGGGCCTGATCGATTAGTTCCTTAGCATTTTTCTTAACCGAGTCAACCCTCCTGGTTGTCGTTTTTACTCTATCCTGGAAGGTTTTGAACTGTGCTTGACACGTCGGAAGATCAATACTTAATTCCTGGATTTTATCCGTTATTTCCTGCATATCTCCAACAGTTTCCTCTGTATATTTCTCTACACGCTCAGCTTTGGCTCTGGTACCGGAGCTTGCAGAGAGGACGGAGTTGTTGGCAGATTGGGTCGGAGTCGACTCAGCATTAGTTTCTCGGGCTCTAATCTCCTTAAAAGCAGTAGTAATAAAGGTTATAAACCCAACTCTGGCAGTTGTAGCATTAGATCTCAGATCTTGTGTATCAAGGACGTTTTCACACTCGATCTGTGCTTTAAGAATTTTATCCTTCCACTGTTTAGCAGTAGCAACACTTTCTTTGATCTCATCTGTAGGCATGAACTCCGGGTTCAGATTTACGAACTCATCCTGCCAAGATGCGACAGCATGTTGGAGAACATTTCTACTCCTTCGAATCTCCAAAGCATTCTCCATCTGAGGTGTAAGATGGGGAGGCATGTTGTTAATTTCTCGGATTAAATTATCAGCTAGAGCCGGAGCGAAGAACTCGTCATCATACTCTAATTCTGCTTCAGAAGTAGTATTAGAACCAGGTTCGGTAGAAGTATATCCATCTGAAGGGGCTGGAAAAACGAATCTTGTCTCAGTATTATCTTCAGGAGAATTTCGAGGAGTTAGATCATCATCATCTAGGGCTCCGGGTAAGGTTTCTAAGCTCGGAGCAGGGATACTAGTATCATATAGGTGAGCAAACCGAGTAGATACTCGATCCGCAGATATCTCACGTCTCTTGGGCCGAGAAGTCGGAGTAACTGGTTTACCTCTTGTTAGAGAGGTAGCTCGACGTACTGGAGAGTGGAAGCCTCGAGACCGGGTTCCTGGTCGAAGACTGCAGGCTTGGTTTTCCGGTGACCGGGGATCGCTTTCTAGGTTTACTGGTCTTCGTTGGTTATCGAACCCGAGGAGAGGCGGTGAGTGCTTGATAGTTGGCATAAGATTAGCGTAAGAGGTGTGTAGAGCGCTTTAAAGTTTCAGGGTAATTGAAATTAATCCCTTTTTTCACTGTGCCATTTTCAAGGTCTAGGATAGAACCAAGAATACCAATACCTTAGATCCACAGGTATTCATACTATTAACATTAAGATGGGCATACATCTTAATGATTATGATGATAGATTCTAAAGGATGTTATTAAGGTTAAAAATGATAATAAAATATTGACAAAAATATTTATTATCTTAATGGAAATAATAATGTTTATAATAGTGATAACAAAGTTCTGTCCAAGTGCATTATTAGTTTCATGGGTGGAATATTCATAGAATATATTTGTTCAGGAGATGACAGGCGAGGCAGTGTAAGTTTACAGAATATTGATCTAACACCTGAAACTGTTGAAGAGATTTTGGAACACAAACCTGTGAAGGAACAACAAGAGACTATATACCAACAACTGAAACTTTACACGCCAAAAACTGAAATTTCCTTTATCTTGGCCACCTGATGGTGTAAACCTATTTCTAACTTTGACTATTATCTTGATTTAGCAAAGTTTTAAGTTTTAAAATTCCCAAGATCTGTCAAAAAGTTAATAAAAGTTTTAAATCATTGATTGAGTCCGGGGCATGGAGAGTATAACGTTCCTAAAACCCTTATCTTTTTTGTTTAAACAGTAATTGTTATTATTATATTTGACCTCTGGTTGCTGGTGTAGGATAAGCTGAGTGAACTGGCCGTCAAGCTAGAACAGTTGGCTAAAAAGCGGAACAAAAATTTTATAGAACTGGAAGCTTCTAAAACAAAGGCAGAAGAGAAATTAACCAGGTAGATGCCGCAAAATGTTATATGATTTTATACACTTTTAAAGTATCTGTTGATGTAATTATTAAGCGCCCNGAGCTAAAATGTGGATCATAACATCATGTTTTTCTGGGCTAAAATGTGGATCATAACGTTCTGTTTTTCTGAGCTAAAATGTGGATTATAACATGTTTTTCTGAGCTAAAATGTGGATCATAACGTTCTGTTTGTTGAGCTCAAATGTGGATCATAACGTTCTGTTTTTCTGGGCTAAAATGTGGATCATAACGTCATCGTGGCCAAAATGTACGGATTGTACGGTTTTTTTGTAACCCTAAGATTGTACGGTTTGTACGGATTATACGGATTTTTTCCAAATTGTACGGATTGTACGGATTTTTATCCTGGAAATACACCTTTTTTTTAAATTTTCACTCATTTCAGCAAATTTTTCATGAAAATTTCAAAAAAAAATTCTTGTCAAAATGAAGTTAGTTTAACTTATTTTCTGCATTCTAAATAATATTAAATAGATTAATGTTTCAATTGACAATCAAAATTCATTCATAATTTTCGAGATATGTCCCAATAGTGTTCATTTCAGAATATGTTCCAGTAGTGTTCATTTGAGAATATGTTTATCTATCTGTCTAGCTATCTGTCTATCCATCTGTCTGTCTGTCTATCTATCTGTCTCTTTATCAGATCTGAGAACATCCTCTCAAGTTTCTTCCGTTTAATCTGTGAATTTTTTCATTTTTAGTTTAATATTAACTTTCTTTTAATTGAGTGTGCAACCCCTGTACTTCCTCCCACCACGCTAATTTTAATTATATTAGATCCTAAATCTACACTCCACAATTTCTAATTATAACTTAATCGTTTGTTTGTTAAATGGCCTAATTCACACCGATTTAAACAGTTTTAAAAATCAGAATCAACGCTCTTCAGTTTTCTAGTTCTATGGTTCTCTGGTTTTCTAGTTCTCTAGTTCTCTGGTTATCTGGTTCTCTGGTTCTCTTGTTTCTCTGGTTCTCTAGTTCTCTAGTTCTCTAGTTCTCTAGTTCTCTGGTTCTCTGGTTCTCTGGTTCTCTGGTTCTCTTGTTCTCTGGTTCTCTGGTTCTCTAGTTCTCTAGTTCTCTGGTTCTCTTGTTCTCTATTATCTAGTTTTCGAGTTCTCGAGTTTTCTAGTTCTCTGGTTCTCTATTTCTCTATTATCTAGTTCTCTAGTTCCCTAGTTTTCTAGTTCTCTGATTCTCTGGTTCTCTGGTTCTCTAGTTCTCTATTTCTAAGTTCTCTTGTTCTCTAGTTCTCTAGTTCTCTAGTTCCCCAGCTCTCTAGTGTTTAATAGTAACGTTTAAGTTTTATATCTTTGCAACCTTATGTGGTAGACTTCTGTTATTATAAGCTGTGAATTTTGCCAGATTAATTAGGCTTCGTTTCAAAAACCAAAGGTTTTCAGGTTGGAAAGATAAATGGATTTTAAAATTGAGTTTAAGTTGAGTTTCTTGAGTTGATCTTTTTTTCATTATTTCCGGGTTCTCATCCAAGCATTCAAATACCTACAGTAGTTTGTAGTACCAGGAATATAGGTTGTCAGAGGGAACATCATTGGTTGCTGAGGGGAAGCTAAAATGTGGATCATAATGTTCTGTTTTTTAAGCCAGACTAAGAGTTTAAGGTATCGTTGTGAAACAGGCATCCCCCACTTTAAATTGAGATTTCCTTGAAATTATACCAACAGTTCCTTTAATAATTGTAATGTTATAGGGTACCAAGTCGAAAAAATCCCCCGCAGCGGAACCCGTTGAACAAGATTGTAAAGAAGTTCAGCACCGTGAACCTGGATGGGGGGAAGGGAGGGCAGGAGGAGGAGGTGGGGGTCCGCCTCGACTCCCTCAAGAAGGGGCACAATGAGAAACTACTTAGGAACACCAACATAGATATAGAATATTTTCCAATTTTCTAGTATTAGTTTTGTTGCTGAGTCACCGAACAGTTGATAATATATAACACCAGTTATCGAAATTTACGAATGGTTAGAAGTTGTTAAAATATGGATGGACACTGGACAGCTGAGTGTGTAGTTCTGGTTTTAGTTGTTTATGTTTAATGTTAATTAATCCAACCTGAGCTGAAAACTTTATAATGGTGGATATCGAGATCGATGCTTGATCCTCTCTTTTTGCTAACATCAAGACTAATTGTGTCTCTAGATTGATTTCTTGAGATTGGAGATGCGCTCTTTAACTTTTAAATAACCGGTTTTTTAATTTTTGCGCATTTCTTGTGTTCATGGTGTCATATCAATTGAAGGAACGAAATTTTTGGTTTAATGTTTATAAAGACAAACGTTCAAAATGGCCAAAGTCCTCAAATGTGATAAAAAATTTGATACGTCCATACTTACATGATTGAATGTATATTTGTTTATATGCTCTAAAAGCTGGCTTCTCAACAGCTGACTTAAGTTTTATTGGATATTTATAGTCCAATCGATATAGCATCGTATCTGCAATTGTTAACAAACGTAACTTTTATACAGTAGGGATATCCAAAAATGAGGATTAAGAGGAAAATCAAAAGTGTTTACATTGTATACTCAGATTAAGGATTAAGATTAAGGATTAGGATTAAGATTAAGGTTTAGGATTAAGATTAAGGATTAGGATTAAGATTAAGGATTAGGATTAAGATTAAGGATTAGGATTAAGATTAAGGATTAGGATTAAGATTAAGGATTAGGATTAAGATTAAGGATTAGGATTAGGATTAAGGATTAAGGATTAGGATTAAGATTAAGGATTAGGATTAAGATTAAGGATTTCCCATTCTAAAGTTTTCAGCTCTGGATGCATTTGATTTGAATAAAGGACTCGGTTGTCGTCCAAAGAGTTGAAGAGAAATAAAAACAGAGCTGAAAACTTTAGAATGGTGGATATCGAGATTACTGCTTGATCTCCTCTTTTTTTAAATCTCCGGATTAAATAATGCTTGTTATCGTCTTGTTATTAATCTCCAGATTAATTAACCGATCGGGATTAAGGATATTTCATTCTAACGTTTTCAGCTCTGTTAATTTATATTCATTAATCATGTTTGTTACTAAAGTTTATTTCGAGGAGAAAATGTCAAAATGCTAAATTATTGTTTCCATTTTAGTCCGAAAATTGGGAGGGTTGGGGGGTGATTTTTGATTATAGAATTTAAGTTTCAAATTCAACTCGGAATTCCTGACTGAAGATTTTAATCCCCCATCTATCACAAACCATAACGAAAAAATAGCTCTAAAGTAAAATTACTTTTGGCAAATTTAATACCTTTTTGCTCTATTATTATTATTTATGTTGTTCTGTTAGTTTTGAGAACAAATATCTCCGTGAGGAAAATGAGCTGAGATTAAAGTTTCTAGAATCAGTTTTTATCTGCGCTGAGAAATCAATGGCCAAGTCCCACGCCGCTCAGGTATGCTTTTAAAAAGGTGGTAATTGATTTTCATTTTCATTTTCATTAAGATGAAAGTTCTTGAGAATCTTTACAACAAGGAATATTCTGAAGTTCTAAAGAAAATTGAGTGCGAGGATAAAACCCAGGTATGTATCATTAAATATGTTTTGAAAATCTAAAAATCAAAAAATAAGAAGAATAATAATAATGATAAAAATGATGATAATGTTAGGATGGTAAGATGGACAGCTCCAATGTATCCAGAGAAGACATGCAAAGAGAGAGGAGGGAGAGATTGATTAAGAAAGGGGTTCACGAAAAGATGAAACTGAAGGTTGGTTAATCTATTGATTTTTTATGATTGTAATTGATTAAGAATGGGTTCAAGGAAAACATAAATATAAAGGTTTGTTGTTGATTTTTTGATTTAATGTATTTGATCATAGTTGCCCCCCTCCCTGTTCATTGATTTAAGATTTGGCTTAAAAACAGCAATTCATTCTTTTTAATTTTTGGGGGGAAACTGATACATTTTTTCAAATATTCTTTAAAAAATTAACCTTCATTTTTTTCAATATTTTCATCAAAAGCTCTGTAAAACATTTAAAAATATGATGAAGAAAAAATTATGTTATTGTACCTCATCAGATAGTTCCTCTTACATTTTATTCAAAGGTCAGATTTAAATCCCCATACCTCCTTCTGTATATATGTTTCTTTTTACATTTTACTATATCAGGTTCAGAAGATAGATTGGAATTCAATTTATTAATGATAAAAGTGGGGGTTTGAGACATTTTTTCAAGAGTACCCCAGCCAGAAATTGTGTAATTATTAACATACTAGCCTTAGAGGGCGCTTCGCGCCCATCTTCTAAATTAATTGTGAACATGTTCTCTTTGTGTACATCGTAAAACAAAACAAAAATAATTCGCGGATTTTCACAAAAAAATTTGTGGATTTTCAAAATTTTCAAAAATTTAGTGATAATCGAATTTTGATGGAGACAAATATTTGAAATTTTGGTCATTCATAAACCTTCCCTGGGGTCCCTATATGTCCCAGAAAAAATTTGGGCACGATCGGTTCAGCCGTTTTGACGTTTATTGGATACAAACAGACAGAGAGACAGACAAGCCAAATTTATATATAGATTTCAGAAAAAGTGAAATTTACTTATGATGATTGATTAATTTAGGAAAAATATAAACGAATTCCATTTTTAAGTCACCTCATTTAAAAAAAAATATTTTGTTACATTTTATCTAAACGTTTAAACTATCCGTACTGTACAATAGTTCCATGTTTACTGTTTACATCAGTACAGTGTGAAGTACACTATTATGTTGAACATTTTTTGTGTTTTTTAAGTTGTTGCTTTAATGATATTGTTTAAGATATTTACGATTCATATATTCTCTATAGATGTTAAACTTTCAAAGTAACTATTAGAATGTTTATGCGGGTTGCATTATGGTTTAGGTTTCGGACACATCACACCAATGAAAGAGAATTTTAGAGGTGTCAAAGTAAGATGTCTAACTAAAGCAGTTGCGATTTTCCTTGGATTAAAAGAAGAAGAGCATCAAGTTATTTGATGTTTGGCCACAACAAACACATTAAGTCGAGAACAAAAAGCTTATCAATTTGATGTTTGGAATAAATTAAGAGGATTTTTCATATTTTTCCAATTTTTGTGGGATTTAAAAAAATATTCTTAACATTTTTTTTTAATTTCGCGATTTCATAAACATGTCCATAAAAATCCTAATTTTGGAAAATGTTTTTAATTTTGTCCATTATTTTTAGCAATTTTTTTAATCTTAAATTTAAGAACAGCGTTCTTAATTCTTTTTAGGTCAGGGGGGAAGTATGTTGATTTTAATGGATTGTAATTTATTGTCATTGATTGCAATTAATCGTTATTGATTAAGATTTTCAGTTACGGGCAAATTTTTATGAATGATGTTGGGCTTAATTGCTTAATTTTGCTGTGAAATTTTTGTGTCATTTGGGTTTAACGAATTTTATGATAAACTAGCTGCGAACCTCACTTTGCCTGGAGGTTTCCTTATAAAAGTCTACCAACTCAATTAAGAATTTTAAATACAGATTAAGAAAATTGTGGTGGTTCTGCCGAGTTTTTAAGCGAATCCAGAGGTTTATGAGATATGATCGGACGTCCAAATAAACAGATATTACTACAGACTTCCTTAAAGATTTAAGCAACTCCATGAAACGTCATGTCTAAGATTGTGATCTGTTTTTAATTTAATAATAAATTGATATTATTACTTAATATATAAAGATACTTGCCAGGACCTGTATGATGACCGGAAGGAGGAACTAGAAGGAGCGCATGAGAGAAGAAGAACAGAGATGAAAAGTGAATGGGAGAAGAGGCATAAAGAGCTCTCACTTCGGTTTATTAGGTAATCAATGAAAAGAGAAAAGATATATATGTTGGAACATTCTGTAGTTTCTGGTTGAATTCCCCATGGACCCCTCCCCCCCACACTTTCTCGATGATTTTTGAATCTGAACCTAACCTGACAGAGTAAAATCACAGGTGGTTGCTTTATAAAAAGGAGGGGTAGGGGGAGGGGAGTGGATCGTCCAGAAGAACTGGAGTGATTGGGGCCAAATTGAAAATCATGAAAGGAAAAATTCTTGATTTCACTTGTTCTCGAAAAGATTTAAATTTTTTTACTGACAGGGTTACTCGCAAATTAACAATTCAATTTTCTTTGTGATACCAAGTATCATAAATTCAATGTTTAAGGCAAAAGAAATTATCCTTCAGATTGTAATAGTTATGAATGTTTTGGACTTCATTGAAAGAGAGGGGTTAAATTTTTTTTTCAAATAAGTTCCTTGTTATTTGATAATTAATATATGTCTCTTATTGTTGAAATCATTTTAGTCAGACAGAAGAGATTTCCAGAAAATACCCGTGAGAAAGAAGAAGCCAACCTAACCGCCATTTTTAGCTACTTTCATACCAATGTAAAGCGGCATTGTCTAGTCCGCCATGTTGTTTTCGTCAGCGGTATTTCTGCCGGGATAAATTAAAGAAACAAACAAAGCACAAATATTGTTACAGAGTTAGTTACATATATCTATAAAGTTAAACCTTGAAACAAAGTTATATTTTTAAACCTTGTTGGTTAGAATATTATTTAATGTATATCAGGAGTTTCAAATCTATTTATATTGATTAACTTAAGTTGTATAATTTAATTTCGTGAAGTAGCATTTATTTTAATGTTTATTTATCTGTAGTATTGAAGGTTTTATATCGGTGTGTGATGTGCCCCTGAAGTACTGTATGGGCATCACTTTGAGCTCAGGTTTTAAATATTTAAAGTTTTTAGACTTTTGAGAGGCTTTTCAACCAGATACAGTGGTAGACGACTAAATTGATACAGTGAAGACGACTTTCTAATTCAATTTTGATTTAAATAAAGCTGTTAAGCAGAAAGGATACACAAAAACAAAGGAGTCAAGAGAATGAATCAATTTAAAAAGCTTCTCTTTGATAACTTATAAACTTGTAATTCGGAAAAAGCTTGTTAACAATCGAAACTTAATAAAAAAGTCGTCTTCATTGTAGTGCTATAATCTCGTTACCACCGGAAGCAAAATCGTCTTTGGTTTTGAAAATCGTTCTGGTTAAAAGTTAATTTAAACACACTCATCGAGAATGCATTATGTCAAATTGTGGAGCACTTTCAACGTGAAAAAAACCTTAACGTCTCAATATGAGGCCCATCAGTATGGCCAGAAGTATGCAATATTGGAAAACAAGTATTTATATATTATCAAGTTCAAAACTATTCTTCCATATTTGTTCTCTCCTTTAATATGTTACACCCTAATAACCTTTTTTCCCTCTTGACACTTACACCCTAGTTTAATACAATATCCCCTCACCCGCCCGTCCTCTTTTGAAACTCTAAAACCCTCGCGTTCTAACGTACAACATAAAAGCACTCCAAGTGTAATTTTGCTCAAACTTCTCTACTTAAAAGGAAGATTTCACGAGAAGAAATAACTAAATGTAACGCAGATTTAATATAAAATGATGCTGCATTGTATAAACCTTTTTTGCGAACACTTCCTTTAAATTGTAGACTTTTATCAGTTGCATGTTGATGTAACCCTTTACGTATTTTGCTTATTTAAAGGAACTGCCAGCGTTTTTCGAAGTGCCCATTTTTACCGTTAACTATTCACTAGATTGCGCTTTTAAGCGACGCAGCACAAAATAAATATCTTAGAAAAACGTTATCAGTCTCTTTAATAAGTTCCAGACAGATCCAACCAAACGTTTGATTTAAAGAATTGTTTTATTTGATTTGTTTTGATCGTGTTTTTAAACAAAGTTTATGATGTGTTATGAAATAGTTAATAGTTGTGTGTTTAGTTTTGATCCGATAGTTACGTATATTTATTTTATCAAAGAATTGACCTTGTTGGCGCAAATTCTATAAATATGATATTTTGCCATAGCGCACAATAGATTGACGCAGAAATAAATTCATGAAACTAAATAAAGTCAGATTTTTGATTCATTCCAAAGATTTATTTTTACAGACTACAGAGTGCAGAGGTCGAACATTTTTTGTCTAGTATCGTTAATCTTGAATGCCTTATCTCGATATCCAATGAGGGTATGTTTAAATTTGAATATTGAGGAGACAGGTAGAGAGGGAGGGTGGAGGGTGTAAAGTCTAATGAGGATATGAATAATAAACACTCACGATAATTTTAAAATTTTTAAAAGTTAATGATAAAATGAATTTACATAGGTTTTTATGCCATTTTCAAAAATGTTAATTATTTATTTGGGGTCTCCGTTGACAATGTCGGGGTCTTCGGTATGGAAGCGGCTGGGGTCTCCGGTACCACTCCGATGATGCTGCTTTCTTTCTACACTCTGTCATTCCATTTCTATATTTATTGGAAAACTAATTGCTAATAGGACTAGATTCTTAGTCACGCTACCATAAGTCTAAATAAACATGGGAATTAAGTGACGACTTTTATATCGTCTTCGATCCATACGGCATTTTTTCATGAAAACAATTATTGCAGTTTTCCAGTTTATACATCTGATATCGAAAACGCCTGGTCTTGCGATTTTCAAAATGTGCTCTACCTTATTTGTATCTTCTAAATTGACGGAGATATTGCAAAATTTGTACAAATTTCAATATATATCAAAATTGTCTCAATATCCTGGTCAATTGTTAAGGCTAAAGAAATGTACGTATACAGCCTCGTTTTTATACTTTCTATGCCATGCCTTTAATATCAGAAAACAAAGACGTCACTTTCAAGTCGTCCCTCAATTTCCATGGTTATCTGGACACCCTGTACATTGGGTGTTCTAAAAACGCTCTTCAAGGTACTAAAAAACTCTTCTTTTTTTCGTGAGATTATTTTCTTATTTTATAAATTATATTTTTTTATTTTTCATTTTATATCGCAGGTCGCCGTTATTTTAAACCACATCCGGTTAATTGTTCTGTTTTATAATCCGATATTGTTTTAAAAAATGGCAATTTCCTTTCGTTCACGATTTCAGAATTAGCGGTTTTTGCAGGCATCAACATACTAAATCAAAAAATCCTCTACGAAGACTTTAACAAAATCGTCACTCAATTCCATGCATTTTATTCGGACACCCTGTAGTAAAAACCAATACGTATCTTACATGGATAAATTAAAATCCAAATGTCGTACAATCTGAACAAATTTCAAGAAAAAAATTCTGTTAGTTATGACCAGAAAACTGTGGAATAGAAAGACGACTTTATAGCAATACTATAGTTGTTTTTGATGGTGTTACAGCAAATATTTTTTAGGGACACAATTACTAAATCACTAATAAAGTTATTTGTTTCTGTTCACACTGGACAATTGCTGTGTCTCATGCCTATTTGTAATATTTAAAGTCATAACTTGAGTCTAAAATGTCCTCTTCCTATTTCAGAGTTTTCTGGTTCTCACTGTAAATCAAATTTGACTGGTGGTTTATTTAAAAAAAGATACAGATATTATTAAAATTATATTAGAATATATATTTATTTACATTAAAATAATTATGAAATCATAGTTAACTTCCTAAAAATATAAGAAGTCTCTATTTTGCTAAATCCAAAAATTGTATTTGAGGATTGAGTAGTTCAATATTGAGCATAAAGAGACTGTAGACGTAATTTTAAGTCATCCTCCATTTAGAGATATGCATGTGAGATTTGCGACGGAATCCTTTATAGCATTTGTCTGATCAAGTGTACGCATCCTTATTTTTTAGCTTTTTTCATCGTTACTGGCGCCAATGCGAATCGATCGAAAGACACTAGTAGGATCGCATGAAATTACGCCAACATACCCTTTAATAGCTACACATTCTTCGTGTAAATGCCCTCTGGGGTGTTCTGACTAAATGCNGGGGTTCAAGACTAGAATAAAAAGTGAAATTTAATCGCAAGTCCTTCAAGATATGGTTAGAGTAAAAATTTGTTACAAAAATGGAAGAGAAAAGGGTTTTTTTATGACAGCTGGTTTGAAAACGGATAATTTGAATGCTTCTCAGTTTAAACAAAAAGCAACTATTTTTTTACGGAAAGCTTAATGGAAAGTAATTTGCGCAATTAAAAGAAAAAAACTTTTTTATCGAATTTCAATAAATTTTAATCTGTTTGGCTGAAAAATTCAAGAAATGTTGTTCGACAACTGAGAACTCTATTCTGATTGGCTAGATAATTAATGATCATTTCTGATTGGATAAAATGGAAGATCTGTTCTAATTGGTTCAGAAGGAAAGGTCTGCTCTGATTGGTTAGGAAAACTGAGAACTTGATTCTGATAGGCTAGAAAACTGAGAAGTTGATTCTGATTGGCTGGAAAACTGAGAACTTGATTCTGATCTGTTGGAAAACTGAGAACTTGATTTTAATTGGCTGAAAAACTGAGAACTTGATTCTGATTGGCTGAAAAACTAAGAACTTGATTCTGATTGGCGGAAAAACTGAGAACTTGATACTGATTGGCTGAAAAACTGAGAACTTGATTCTGATTGGCTAGAACTGTTCTTTAATTGGATGTGTTGCTCAGGAATGGATTCTTGTTGCATCTAAATAAAATCAATTGTCAACTCTTGTTATAGATTCGAAATATTAATAATTATTTAGAATAAAAGAAAGAAAACATTATAACTCAAGAAAAATGCGAATTAAACTAAAGGTAAGAAGTGACCTGTGGATTTACTCAACAATAACAAGAAAGAAAATGGAACGAATTTATCTTTCTCATTGTGAAACAGATAAGTTTTAATTGTACTGTAATGAAAAAGGAATTACGTCGACAGTCTCATTAATGAAAGAAAATGCCTGAGAATAAAAAATAAAAATAAATTCAACAATGTTTATTTTAAATTGACAGATTTTCTGTAAAAAAAATGTTGTAGAATTAATTACAATAAACTCCTTGATGTTTTATCTCCGCTGGGAACTTTTGTTTTGGATTGTTTGACCTCGATATCCACTCAGGGCACTTTTAATTTGAATATATATATAACTATATACCTTTTCATATCTTAAGTATAATCATTCTTCCCTTAAACCCTTGACCTGGCTGAGTATGATTACCATGCGGGATATCGAAATTAGATTAAATTAATCTGCAGATTAACAAAAGATCGAGATAAAATGCTTAATCTCGATATCCACAATACAAAATTTCCCAGCTCTGTTCAATGTTCTACCTGCAAACACAGCATGAAGGGAAAAGAAACCAATCCATGAAAACTCCAGCACAATCATTGTTAGGATCGTAGGCCAGCAGTCTGTGCCATTTATACTTCTGCTCGCAGGAACAGTCCCTTGTACATCGAGCTGTAGCAGAACCACTGAAAAAACAAGTGAACAGTCACTTTCTTTAAAAACTGAATGAAAATAGTCTCTTTCTAGAATAACCCTAAGAAGGAAACAGATCCTAAAGTATATAAAGAAGTCCTTTACTAAACCAATATAAGGAAGGAAAAGTCCCATGTTAAAACATTTAAGTATTAGTCCCATTCTATAATAGTTCTAGATTCTAATCAAAAAGGAAGAAGAAAAGGAAGCCATCTTGATTAAAACATACCAGAAGCAGTCCCTTTCTTCATAAAATAAATAGAAGGTGCAGGTTCTTATTGAAATGACTTAAAGAGAGAAATCCCTTTCTTTTAATAAGAACTAGAAGGTAGCAGGTTCTTAATAAAAAGAGTAAAAGGTGGCAGCCCAATGCTTGTAAAAAGAACTAGAAGGTAGCAGGTTCTTATCAAAAAGAGTAAAAGGTGGCAGTTCAATGCTTGTAAAAAGAAAAAAGAAAGTAGCAGGTTCTTATTAAAATTAGTAAAAGGGAGCAATCCCTTTCTTTTAATAAGAACTAAATATAAATAGTAGCCGGTTAAAAAGATTAAAAGGTGGCAGTCCCTTAATTCAATATATAACTAGAAGGTACAAAGGTTCTTATTGAAATGTCTAAAAGAAAGCAATTTTTTAAAAAGAGAATAAGGGGGTACGGTCCCGTTGTTAAAAAGAGGACTAGAAGTTAACAGGTTCTGATTGAAAATACTAAAAGCGAACAGTCCCATTGAAAAAGTATTTTAAAATTTTCGACTGGAGTGAAATTTGAAGACAATGTTTAGTTAAATCTAGTGTGAAATTACTGAGTAAATAGTCGGTAGAGGAAACGCCCTGAAATTGTTCAAAATCAAAATGGAAACTTTTTCAAAAGAACGTATGAGATAGATTTAGACTTTTATATCAGAAAGTTATTTTTGTAATCAAATGATTTACAAACTTAAAGAATGTCTTGTTTGGAAAATAATTTATCTCTAATCAGTATATTTTAAAGACAAACAAGTGCGTATACAGGAAATGTCCTTTTAGACATTCCAGGAGGGGTGAGGGGCAAAGCCCCAGTTGGGGGGCTGAATCCCCCCTGAAAACCAAAGTTTACATTTCTCCAGGGGGCCCTCTGATTACACCTCTGATGACAAACAATGAAAACAACTTACGAACAGATCTCTTGGTGAATCGCTTGCTCAAATGCCTGGGAAAACAACAAAAAAATGTCATTGAAATACATTTAGTTTTACTTTTATGCAATCTCTCTTCTTTTGCAAAGATAAGAGACGCAACAGAATGATTGAATCATTATAAAAAATGTTGAAAGGCTAATTTTTAAGTTTGGATGCAAACATTATGAAAATGAACGACATTTTTGAGATAATCTCGGTAGAAAAAGGTAAATATTTTGGTTATTTTTCATTTTATAACGGTTAAAAAAGACTCAATCTCTCTCAATGTTTTGAGGTTTTTCGTATTTATTAAAATATTGAGCTAGCCATAAGTTTTTCATTAAATAGCTGCAATTTCAAGTAAACTCAATTTTCGTTTATTTCAATTAGAAAAATAAGGATATTTCAATCATGCCGTATCAGACAAAGTTAAAAAGTATTTCGTTTACACATATATGGAGGGTCACTTGAAATCATTTCTGAATCCGACACTTTTAAATTTTTTCAAGTTTTTTTTTTGTTAAATTTCCTTGTTGTTAAGAATAGCTCTAACTTTTCCATTACTGTTACTGGCCCAGTACGGGGTTACAATCTCTATTTTGCTCTCACATACATCCTCCCTAGACACAATACAGGTTTATGTAAATGTATTGTTAAGTACAATGATGGCAACGTAGTATTTGTACACTCTCAGTACAGCTGTATTCTTAAATCACAAGTGTCAACTCAGTTTTTGTGTCCGACAAAATTATTAATAATAGTGATAATTCTTTAATAAAGAGCTTATCTTACAGTGAAAAAGTTTCAATTTAATGTCTTACTTATTTTCTGTTTTTACACTTTTTTATTTAATATTGGGAAACATGTCAAAAAATGTGAGAAAATTTTGTTTTTCTTGTTATATTTGACACTTGTGACGTCGTGTATAATTGATCCATTTCTCTGTTGCCACCTATTGTACCTGATAATCTATTTGGGTTTATGTAATATTTAATTTCGATAAATCTATATCATAAAGCTCTTCTCTCATATATAATATATGTTAGCTATAGCTGGCCAAAAGGTTTGACAAAATTGACTCAAAATTATTTTTTCAAAGCCAAGTTTTTTTCTTCAAATTCCAAGAGCAAGTTAGCTTTGAATAAATTGGAATAAAATTCGTGTTAGCTTTTTATTAGAAATATTGCTAAAGATTTGGTAATTCGCAACGGTTACATTGAGTACATGACAGATATAACTATGTTACGTGACATAAATTATATTCATTAGAGGTCCAGTGTAACACAAACACAACAAAGAATGAGACTTCAGAGACGACTGTACGGAATTTATATTGTCTGTTTCCTTATATTTAGGATTCCATTCAACTGTAAATTAGTTTTTTCTTTTTCCAATGGTTAAAAAGGCCAGAAAAGACTTTATTCATTGCAGTAGACTTAATTTAACCTGGAAAAAGTGTATTTTATTAGAAGACTTGAGAAAAACGACTTTCTATCCGCCTTCACCTGGTTCGGTCACGAAAGACAACTATTTGTTGTTTTCAAATCCCTACATCTTTGCAACCTGATGATGTAAACCGATGATATTTCAAATTAAAATTATTTGATCTAACAGAATTCTTAATTTGAAATATCTAACCTCTACAATATTGAGTTGCAAAGATTTGGGGATTAGAAAATCAAAGTGTGTGGCAAAGACGCAAATCCTTTGTTCGAGGACAAAAAAAACATTATGATCTTGTTAAAACACAACGACTAAAAATCAAGTTTTTAAATGGCTTTGATAAAAATTGCATTCCTTCAGATGTTGGCGCTGCTGTAAAATATTTAATAATAAATTTTATTCTGTGGCAATAAATGAATTCTTGACTCTGTTTATCAACGAAGCTTATCTGATTGAAAACTTGGACTCAATATTTTGATTAGAAATATTAATAATGGATTTTATGTGATAATTTTAATGATATTGATGTTGAAGAAAGATATAATATAATAATATAGATAATTACAACAACTACTACAGCAACAACAAGAACAACATAGAAAATACAGAACAGAGATTAGAATCTATTATCTTTACAAGAAAAACAACAACAACAACAACAATAATAATAACAACAACAACCACAACAAAAAGTAGATACTTGTTTGTATTTGTTTCAGGGGCTCCAGGAAAGTCTGCTTGTCTCTTTCCCCTGAATTAAATTTTTAAATAAAAATATTTAAAAATTAATTAGATACAAAATTTCGCTTTTATAGATCAAAAAGAATATTTCTTTAAAATGATGAATTCACTGCAAAAAAAGATGTGCATGCTCTCGTACAAAAATCTAGCAATATTTTGAAAAATTTTCTTTTTAACTTTTTAAACAAGGACGTTGCCTTTTTAAAATGTACATTTCTAAATACAAATTAACTACTAACATTTCTATTTGATGTTTCTGTTAGAAAATTAATATCAAGAAATTTGCAATTGTAAGTTGTAACTGAATTATTTAATTTTGTAATTATTGTTTTTATAAATAATAAATAAATTAACCTCGATGTTGAAGTTGCATTGAATCCCTCCAACTCCTCCTCCAAGGGAGCCTCCTCTGCCTCAAACTCTTCTTGTGCCTCCATCTCCTCCAGGGTTCCCTCCAACACATCTCGTCGAAATCTGAATGATGATAATAATAATAATGATAACAATAATAATAATAATAATAATAATAATAATGATAATAATAATAATAATAATTATAATAATAATAATAATAATGATAATTATAATAATAATAATAATGATAAAAATAATAATAATAATAATGATAACATTAATAATGATAATAATAATTATAATAGTAATAATAATATATGTAATAGCTAGTAATCAATTAATTATGATGCGTGCAACTACTAAAATACAAATAAAAAATGCGTGCTAAATAGAAAATTATGCATTCTTTAAAGAATACTCTAATTTTCCAATTAACCTTTCTTTAAGCCCTCACCTACCCCTACCCCTTCCATAAATACTTACCTACATGCCAATTAACATGAAGAAAAATAAACAATAAGAAATTCCTGTGCATAAACTATGCAAAAAGTTTGCAATAAAATGTTGATTATGTTATTTCTGAGGTTTCAATACTCTAAGGATTGCAGAATATTTGCAGGTATTAAAGGGACTGTCCACGTCATTTTCAGTGATTATTTGTCTGTGCTAAATATTCCAAATAGATTATCAAGTACAATAGGTGGCAACAGATATATGAACAAATTATATAATATGAAATATATATAAAAATTTCCAAAATTGAATAAATAAGTGTAAAACAGAAAATAAAGAACACATAAAATTAATATTATTTAACTGAAAGATAAGCACTTATGTCTAAAAATATCACTTATATTGATAATTTTTTCGGGCACAAAAACTAAGTTGACAATTGTGACGTCAGAATTGCCATCTATTGTATACTAGAATCTATTTGAGTTATTCTAAAAGAGTATTTCTTTTCAAGACATAGAAACGATAATATTTTTGCATTTTGGGAACGTAATGGTTTAGGGTCACTTAAAATAAGGTGCATAGTAACCTTAACTTTGTACAATTTTGTAATTATCTTTTAAAAATACCTTTTCAAAATATAATAAAAAAAATGTTTAAAAACACAGTCTCTTCAAATTGTTTAATTCTGCACAGGGGCTGGTTAAAATTAACCTTTTAAAATAGATACCGTAGCACTAAACCACAGTATTTTATACAGTATTTTTATCCAAATTTATTTTATTGTTTACTGTTTTCAAGGGACTGCAAGTCCAGGTACAAAGAAAAATTAATTTTAAAAATACAGAGAAAGTTTTAGTAAAGCACATTGTTAGAAGAATTTCAAAATTATTTGGTATGTGAGATATCCCTAATGTTATGTTCAAAATGTTCATTATTTCGAAATAGTTTTTTCATTCGAAGTTACGAACATTATATTAGTTTTTTTTCTGGCCGAAAATTAAGAAAGTGAAAGAAGACAGGAAAGAAAAGGGAAAATAAAATAGAAAATTAAGAATTTGATGTTATATACGAAATTTTTAATCGCCGTTTCATGAAAAATTCTCAAATCTCAATAATAATAATCTTAATAAACATGGGAGTTCAGTGACGAATTCGATATCGTCTTTTCAATAATTCTTTGATTTAATATAGTGATACCTACTGAGAAAGCTGTATTCCGTAAGATTTTCGTCTGCTATGTTTACAATTTGTTTATTTATGTTTTGACCTCATAAAAATTTAGTAGTATACAAACAGAGTAAACTTGTCCGTCGTCTTCACTGTTCATCTTGTGGAGCCATTATAGGCACATCTTTACAGCCATTTACCGTTTTCATAAAATAAACTCTAGCAGGCATAATAATAGTGTGGCTTTTGAAATTAGGTACAGTGAAACCCTTAATAACGAATACATCGGAAGAATTTATCAAATGTCATCTTGAAAAATTATTCAACGAGTTCTATACTATATTACGTAAATTTCAGTATTTGCGAAAATAAATAAATAGCCATGAATATGCGGGAACAGTTTTAAATAGTTCCATATAATTATTTAATTAGAAAAATAAATATCTGCGACATTCCGTTATCAGAAAGTGAAGAATACGACATTTGATGAATTCTTTCGATGTATTCTTTATTAAGGGTTTCACTGTATTACAATGCTAATTCATAACAAGACGATATCGAATTCGTCACTGAATTCCATGTTTTTTGGGACACCCTCGATCATAGAATTAGAGTTTATGCTGGATTCAAATCAGGTCATTTTTAAGCATCTAAGGATTTATAAAATAAGGAGAAAATAAGCTTTATATGTGCATAGATAACTTTTCTCTATGCTTGTTTGGTTTATTTTCTTTGGCATATCTAAAAGGGATCATGGCATGGCTTTTAAAGAGAATCCATTTCGGAACTGTTAAAATTTGTCAAAAAGAAATAACAGAAACATCAAATAGAAATTTTAGTGGAAAATGCTAATTCATAATTCTTAAGAAAAAGATTTCTTTTTTAAATCTTAGAGGGACTACAGGCAACTTTTAAATCTTAGAGGGACTACAGGCATTTTTTAAATCTTAGAGGGACTACAGACATTTTTTAAATCTTAGAGGGACTACAGGCATTTTTTAAATCTTAGAGGGACTACAGGCATTTTTTAAATCTTAGAGGGACTACAGGCATTTTTTAAATCTTAGAGGGACTACAGGCATTTTTTAAATCTTAGAGGGACTACAGGCATTTTTTGAATCTTAGAGGGACTACAGGCATTTTTTAAATCTTAGAGGGACTACAGGCATTTTTTAAATCTTAGAGGGACTACAGGCATTTTTTAAAATGACTCTCAATGCAAAGATGGCATTACCCTTGAAACCTTTATCTGATCAATAATGATATTGTCGTGTTACTAAACTTAAATAATGATATTGTCGTGTTACTAAACTTAAATAATGATATTGTCGTGTTACTATAAATCTTAAAAGGGTAAGATTTGTTTTCCTGCAGTAGAAATGTTAAGATAACTTTTGTAGAGAAACCACAATTTAAAAAATTCAGTGTTTAGGAGTATAAACATTGATATCTATTGATATCCCCCCCCCCTGCCGTATATAAATGTTTCGGAGGTGGGTGACTGGGCAGATCTGATTATAATCTTTTAACCATTCTCGTATTATCATTCATAGATACTTTAGATAGTAAATCATTTATACAATCATTAAAGGGACTGTAAAAGTAGTTTCAAATGACCCTCTAATGTTAGAGTTGCAAGTTTCAAAACGGTATACCCGTTGTTTTTGATTTTGAAATTTTTTTAAAAATCGGATCTTTTAAAAAGTGAGCCGTAAATTTGAAGCCTTGAATCAGTCATATCAAGATTTAAATTGAAGGTCACATGAAAGAAATTGAGTCTTTGTAGCAAATCCTAATTTTCTAATACCTATATCTGTGCAACCAGATGATGCAAACCGCTGACATTGTGAAGCAAAGATGAAGGAATTTAAAAATCAGAGTTTGAGGCAAAGACTCAATTCCTTTAATTTCGAGAATTTTCCCCACAATCTTAAATCTTTAGGGAGACAAAATTCAATGATGAACGCTATTTCTACAGGGGACATTATTTCCAAAACCAACACTTGGCCCATTTCTAACACTGAGTGTTAGAAATGGGCCAAGTGTTGGTTTTGGAACTTGAAATAATACACTCGAGATGATACATCAAAATGATATAAATAAATAAATTATGAATTGATATAATGTGAAATCAGTTAGATACCTCTCATGACACATTTTTAAACTGTTTTAAAGAGCTAGCCTATCTTAAGAATTCTAATATATTGAAATTTCTTTGTATAAAGTAAAAAATAAGAATACAGCACACAATTTTCGTATGGAAAACTTATAGCGAAATTAGTTATCAATATAATGCATAATGAGACTTGAAATATTTTAAATTTATACTTTTTATAAAAAAATAAACGTATTATTTTATATCGATATTTAAGATTTGAAAGGTATTTTTGTATAATCAAGATTTAAGATTCATTCGTAGGTGTGCCATCACATTTATACATTGACTCATAATCTAAATGATCATTGATTTTATTATAAACCATTGTATTTAAATTTAGTTGAAAAACTATCAGATATTAATTCCTATAGACCTTAGTTTTTACAAATGACGAGTCTTTCATAACGAACTGAAACTTCTGAAATTTGACAGTTCCTTAGGTTGAATTTTGTTTTCTACCTTTGGTAGTCTTTTCTTGGTGTACCTAAGGATTTGGCACAGAATACAAATTAAATTTGATTAAGAAGAATTTGAGCAATGATTGAGCTCTGAGGCTAGAATCAAAACTTACTGAAATTCCTTAAACACTTAAAAATGTGTCCACAAAGGAAAAAGATTAAAATAAAAGAATATTTTCCCAACTTTGTAGTATCTCTTTCCCTCCATTTAAAAAACCTCCCCAGCCCCGCCCCCGTAATCGTTGAAGATTTTTAAATTTTCAAAATGAGCTAGCCTTTGTTTTTCCTGTGAACATGCATTACACCTATACACTTCAGTCCATTCCCAATATAAGGGGTTTATATTTTTACTTTTACTAAAATATGAAATTAACCGTGAAACACGAAATCTGCGATCTACAATGTATTTACAGTATGAACATGCCATTTTTAAACGAAATTTTAAAATCTACATCCGAGCAGTTTACAGGCAGTTCTACCTTTTAAATCCAGGGGCAGAAACAAATTGTGACGTCAGGGGCGCCGAAACGCTATAGCTGGAACAAATTTTGTTAATCAGTGTTATGTATTCAGCCATATAAAGGTATTAAAGCGTGAGTGACAAGTGTGTCCATTAGAATAATCAAAATGGCAGTGTCCAGTACACGTGGGCGCCGCCATCTTAGGAAATTGTTAAAATCCGCGAGTCACTCAACGGGACAATCTCGTGGATTAACATGCTGATTATATTTGACGATTTAGTCACTAGTCAATGGTGTCTTAAAAAAGTGTCAAGTATAAGTGTGATAATCTTTAAAAAAAGTTTTCCCCAAAAAGGCTATTACCTGGATATGCCGTTAAAGGTCCTGACAACCCTGACTGTTGTAACCGTTGTGGTTTGCTGAAGTTCTCCGTACATCCTAGAAATTTCTTTTGAAAAAAAATCTTGAAATATATGCATTTTCAATATTTAACTAATTTAAGCATTAAAAAATGCATTCAGTCCAATTTTGCTAAACTGTTTTGTGCACCTTAAAAATACAATTTTAAAATTAAGGTTGTGATGAAAATAATAAGATTTTCATTTGATTTTTAATTGTTCTACCATCTTACCTTCTCATTAGAGCTTTGTTATCATCTATAAACTTCTCTATAAAAGTATTCGGGTAATTTGTTCCTGCAGAGGGACAGAATAGCTGATATTATTATAATTATTATTATTATTACCATTATCATTATTATTATTATTATTATTAAATCATTACCTGATTTAATCGTTTAACACAAGGGAGCCCCCTGTTAAAATAAACCAAATTAAATTTTTTTTTCAAGTACTTTATTTGACATTTTCCGAAATGTTAAGTTTCATGTTATTTGATAAAACTCCAATAAAATCGCTCAGTAAGTCATCTACAAAATTCAATCCCCCTCTCTCTGTTTTGGAATTTTCCGAGGCATTGAACACAACATGAATCCCACTCCACCAAATAATTTGGTTTGTTATTTTCCTAATAATTTCTCCGCCGCCATTGTTAACATCCATCATGGCGTCTAAGCTCCCCACAACACACACCTAAACAATTGGGGTTTATTCACATTCTTTAAGTATACGATAGTCGGAGAAAGTCGTCTTTGATCTTTGAATTTATTTGTAACTTATGTTCGTAAACCTACTTTAACATGTCATGATTCTTTAAACAACAACCACAACATTCTTCTATCCTGACATTTCCAAAATGTGTTTTGCCTTTTTTATGCTGTCAACATTACCGTAGAAATCAATATTTCAAAGAAAATGTACGACCTTTAAGTCGTCTTGCTACTGCCATGTTTGGTGGGACACCCTGTACAACTCTTCCCTAAAACCCAATATTTATTCAATCAGAGTACAGCAAATCCCTGTAGTACACACCGAAAGCTTAGTTTAGAGTGAAATTGTTTTTGCATGATTGTTCACATTGCACATGATTGCATGGAAAACAGCAAGAGAGTTGATTGATTAACCATTAATGAGAGATCGGTGTATCTCTTTCATACTTTTGAAACAGTAAATTATAAAGTAGCAAGCAACAAAAATGAAAAAACCCCTGTCAATAATCCTTTTTGTCCCTGTAGGAGAGGATTTAAACCGCTGTGCGCTGCGCGTAAATTAACCGTATACTATATACATACTTCCGGAAGATTTTGGGTGCGCCTCTGTACTCTGCATCCCACCTGTAGGGGTCACCAAAAGTTTGCGCATTTGGGTAAAAAATGTGTAGTATTACAAGGAGTTCTTTCTCATGCCAAATATCAAATCTAAGTAGAATCGGAAATTCCATTAAAACGAGCGCATTGACCTTTCGTTGAAATCACTGGACGGGAGAAACGGGAGTTCAAGAAAATAGGGATCGATAGATACTGATGGAAGAGGGGGGATATGGATAATGAAGGGAGTGGGAGGGGGGGTTTTGATGCCGAAGAATGAGGAGGGGGGGGGGGTTTAAAGATACTAGATAGCACCAGTTTTTTCAACGATAAATAGAACAGAATATAACAGGACAAACTGGAAATTAATTAAAAACATTGTAGATATGTATATTGCCATACATAATTGATCTTATTAAAGGGACTGTTAGCGTAATCTTTAGTAACCCTTCATGCAATGATAATGCCCTATTCACAACGATGGCTTAAACGCTTTGTCTGATCAAGTATGATTTATATATGAATGTTTTAGATTTTAAAAACTGATTAATTTCAATTTTTAGTTTTCCACAAAAGTGACCTGCACATCATATAAAGGAAATATCAGAATTGTAAACTTTTAAACCTAAAAAAAAAAAACATTATCTTTTCATTAAAGATTTCAAGAGTATCGTTGCCTTTGTACAGAGGGTCACTTGAAATTACACTTACAGTCCCTTTAACTACTTTACAGCCCCTTTACCTACTTTACAGCCCCTTTACTTACTTTACAGTCCCTTTACCTACTTTACAGCCCCTTTACCTACTTTACAGTCCCTTTACCTACTTTACAGTCCCTTTAACTACTTTACAGTCTCTTTAACTACTTTACAGTCCCTTTACCTATTTTACAGCCCCTTTACCTACTTTACAGTCTCTTTAACTACTTTACAGCCCCTTTACCTACTTTGCAGTCTCTTTAACTACTTTACAGTCCCTTTACCTACTTTACAGCCCCTTTACCTACTTTACAGTCTCTTTAACTACTTTACAGTCCCTTTACCTACTTTACAGCCCCTTTACCTACTTTACAGTCCCTTTAACTACTTTACAGTCCCTTTAACTACTTTACAGTTCCTTTACCTACTTTGCAGTCCCTTTACCTACTTTACAGTCCCTTTACCTTCTTTACAGTCCCTTTACCTACGTTACAGTCCCTTTACCTACTTTATAGCCCCTTTAACTACTTTACAGTCCCTTTAAATACTTTACAGTCCCTTTACCTACTTTACAGTCCCTTTAACTACGTTACAGTCCCTTTACCTACTTTACAGTCCCTTTACCTACGTTACAGTCCCTTTACCTACTTTACAGTCCCTTTAACTACTTTACAGTCCCTTTACCTACTTTACAGTCCCTTTACCTACTTATAGTCCCTTTACCTACTTTACAGTCCCTTTAACTACTTTATAGTCCCTTTACCTACTTTACAGTCCTTTAACTACTTTATAGTTCCTTTAACTACTTTACAGTCCCTTTAACTACTTTACAGGATTATTGTCATCTTGGATGCTTTAAAATTTTTATTTTTTATTTATTTTAATTTCTATTGCAGATGCAAGTAAGGGCTGATTATTATAAAAATATACATAGATTAGCAGTGAATTTAACATTTATTTATAAAAAGTAGTAAATTCGGTTTGTTTATTTGTCCAATCGTAACACTTGCAATTCCTTTACAGATTTGTCTCAGTTTGAATAAAGATTAACCATGGGAATATTGATTAAAATTATTTTAAGCTGATTTGGTACTATACTGTATTGTACTCAACTCTATGTAATTGTATACTAGTACTTTAATGTACCCCCCCCCCCCTCCGTTCTGTCCGTTCCTTCTTCCTGCAGTTAGTAAAAGGGACTGTAGGCCTAATTTCAAGTGACCCTACATGCAAGGATAACAATTCCTGATTTATAACGGTAACCTTGAAACCTTTATCTGATCAAATTTGTGGAAGATACTGTAGTTTTTAAACACTCGAAAAGTGTTTATTTCTGTAAGTTTCTCCATTGCTTCTTTAAAACAAGAAAAATGCGGAAGTAACAGAAAAAATGATATTCAATTCATTCTTGATCAGACAAAGCTTTTAAAGGTACAGTTGTAAATCGGACATGTTCTATTGTCATCTTTGAATGAAGGATCACTTAAAATTAAGCTTCCAGTCAAAGAGAATAGAATGTATATTAGAGTGGAATTCACTAGAAAAAAGTGTAAAACGGCCATTTTGTTGTACTGTTTCCATACCGCAGGTGTACTTCACATATTTGCGCCCTTTTGGGCCCTGGAACATCAGTTTTTAGAAAATCTAAAATTAATTTTAATAGAAAACGAAATTATGAAATAGGCTGGTTTGATAATTGACCAATGATCATTTCACATAGACTCTATGCCTTCCACTTTACAAAACAGGATACAATCCATACAGGATACAATCCATACAGGATACAATCCATACAGGATACAATACAGGCTCGATACAATCCATACAGCCAACAGGATACAGCCCAAACAGAATAAAATCCATACAGAATACAATCAATACAGGATGCAACACATGGAATTCCTGTGTTCATGTTAAACCTTTAAGTTCTAGGATTAACAGAATGTATCACATTTTTAATGGGACTAAAACTAGCGGAGTTCCCAGCTGGAAAGAATGAAAAGTGGAAAGCTCTCAAGTGACAAGTGTAATGGTTTAGGAAAAACCAGAGAAGAATGGTTTATGAATAAAAATGTCCAGATTTAAATATTCTTCTGAATTTTTATCTTTACTGATTAGTAAAGGGAATGTGGGCAAGATCGTTCAATGATACAGGGTTACCCACAATGGATAAGACTTTAGAGACGACTGTACGGAATATATACTTTAGAGACGACTGTACGGAATATATACTATAGAGACCACTGTACGGAATATATACTTTAGAGACGACTGTACGGAATATATACTTTAGAGACGACTGTACGGAATATATACTTTAGAGACGACTGTACTGAATATATACTTTAGAGACGACTGCACGGAATTTTTTTTCGTCTCTTTTCTTATATTTATAACTTCCTGAGATTGTAAACGTGATTCATTCGTTGCCAAATTATTAAATAAACCAAACTAAAATATTACATATGTACAAATGTTTCAGGTCGTCTTTACACTCTCATACTTTGCAGCCAACCCTGTACAACGAGTGTTGAAAAGTTATTTTACATATTCATATCTGTCCAATATGCAAAATTAAGAATTTTAAATAATAATCCACTCTTTTAACCGCCATTTTTTAACTCCCCCTTTTAACCCCCTCTTTTAACCCCCATTTTAATTTCCAATTAAAAATTCATTAATTTTAATTGGGAATGAAAAACTTTTTAAAATGACATTTAAATTTTTTTTTGAGTTCGTGGTTGAATTGTTGTGATGCATTGGGAAAAATTTGTGTTCTGGACTGTTCAGAACAAAATAGTTACTAAAACTCAAATCCATTAAAATGCAGCTTAAAGGCTAATTATTTTATTACCTTCTATAAAAACAATAAATTTACATCGTTAAGAAGTTAACTTGCAATTCAACTTTTTCACTTTATAAATTTTAATTATTATGGTATCCACACATTTCAGTGAATTATAATCGAGGTTGCCAAAAATAGACCTAAATGACTTGAGTATTTGCCACAATTCACAAACTCCGATTTTATAATCCCTATGTCTATGTAGCCTAATGTCGTAGAGTTTTGATAATTCAAACTATGAATTATGTTAGATCAAATTATACCAGGGTTTACATCATCAGGTTGAAAAGATATATAAATAAGAAAATTTCAGTTAGTGAAAAATTTCTTTTCCATTAAAAAATAAGTAGATTCATTCCGTTTTTGTACCCACTGAATTGGAATTAGATTTCAGTAATTTTGTTAGATTTAAAAAATGTGTATCCACAAAAAAAACATTTTCACTGCAGGATAGGAAGCCGCTGACCTTAAAACTTTACATTTTTAATATTTAGCTGATTTTGAAAACTTTACATTTTCAATATTGAGCTGATTTTATAAACTTTACATTTTCATTATTTAGCTGATTTTGAAAACTTTACATTTTCAACATTTAGCTGATTTTGAAAACTTTACATTTTTAATATTTAGCTGATTTTGAAAACTTTACATTTTCAATATTTAGCTGATTTTGAAAACTTTACATTTTCAATATTTAGCTGATTTGGCATTTGGTGTTTTTTTAGGGGGGGGGGGATGCTTCCGACTCTGTTTCAACTTATTTCTAGATCCCAATACTATTTAAAATTAAAATACTATACTGTGCATAAAGTCCTGCATCAAAATTAAAAAATGTCATTTCTGAAACAAAACTTTAAAAAGTTTTTCCTTCTATTTTTTCCAGCCTGATTAGATGTAATAATAATAAAAATGAAGATTGTTAACAAGACTCGAATTTGATAATTCAAAACTTAAACACTATTTTTTAAGTTTTCTATAAAATGTTACTCCCAAACTGATCAATAAAGTAAGAAAATTAGACCCAAATTTGTCAGTTTATCTTTTCAAAACTTTTTCAGTTTTCAGCTATCTTATCTATGATTTTAGTTTGGTACTCTGACCGGCCCGACCGGTCCATCTATTTACCTGTTATCAATAAATTAGTTCAATATCAATCGTTTTTCAATACGGACGGAATTAGGCTGGGTAGGCTGTTAGTTTTTATATCGTGGCTGTTAGCTGTTAATACAGTCAAGATTGACTGAAGGACTAGAGTTTGAGACAAGTAGTTACTTAGTTTATCGGGCTAGATCGTTACATGTGTATAAATCTTTATCAAATGTTTCTTCTTATAGAACAACAAAAAACAACTTGTAAACAAAGGCAATTTTTGAAAATGTTAACTGCACCATGAAAATACATTTTTCTCAGGTTTAATGGCTAGATTTTAGTTTTTAATTTTATGAAAGAAAGAGCAATATATTGAAATTGAGAACGCAATTTATAATAATTGGTTTTTAAGCAAGCGTAAACCGCGAGAGGTTTGACGCAAAACAGATTGATTTCCGTGGTTTATTGTTGGCTGACGCAAAATGTGCGTCACGGTCACGGATTTTCGTATCTTCGACAATATAGTAAGGAAAATACTTACCACTAAAAGAAGCGCAGGCAACGCATGTCTGAAACACATTTTCATAATCCCTCAAATCCGAGTTGACGGAATCTTTTGTCACAACTAAATGTTAATGTTCGCCGATTCAAAAATATTCTGGGGTTTCAGCTATTTTTGAATATCTTCTATCTCCAACTAAATCCACATCAATGTTTCTTGATCTTGGATTAGAGCGAGATAACGCAGATCCGCTTCTCTCAAAGGTTGAGCGCAAACTGTGAACGAAAAAGCGTGCTTGTGTTGCGTTCATCTGCGTGTGTGTATATCAACCCAGGGTCAAAAAAACTTCACAAAACAAAACGGAAAAATGCGTCATCATGGAAAAATGTTGAATTTTGGCATCTTTATTTTTCTAATTATGATATAATTACCAGGGCGGGGATATAGACTTGTAAATGGTGACCACGCCCATCAATAGTTTCAGTAGTAAACCAGGACTTCAGGGCTATCCAGGCCCACACACTGCCAAGGGGGCGGTGCACCCCGCAGCATTATGTAATAAAGGCAGCCACCCCTTTAGAAAATACATTAAGCTTTTTTCTCCTTTTCCTTTGGACCGTTTCATTTGTCTTCTCTTATTTACCTTTGCTAGTTCTATTTTTCTTTAATGTCTTTTTCATCTTTTTTTTCAAATTTTTCAGTTTTTTCTTTTCTTTTTCATTATCTTTAATTTTTCATTGTATTTCTAATTTTTTTGTCATTTTTTTGCCTGGGATAATTTAAACCACGTAAATGTAAAGTGTGTGTGTGTGGGGGGGGGGGTTAAGTCCAAATTGCCCCCCTTTTATTATCCTGCGAAGAATTTAACAATTTCAGACCTCTTTTAGGAATACAAGAAAGACGAAATTACACTTAAAGTAATCTTATATGGGTATTTGATGTTGTTATGAAGCAAATATTCAATTGTTCAATGAATCAGTTAATTTAAAAAATGTTCAATGAATATTTTTGGATTTAGTAATTCATTTTGTTCCTTGCAATATCATTGCAGTTGTTTTCCTTGTTTGCTAATAAATCATTTGAAAAATATAAAAAGTAGAAATCATATTTCAGAAATTAATGAAGCCAGTGTTCTGCAGATAACTGTAAACAAACATTTAGTTTTCACCTTATGTCAACAAATCTGACTCTGGTCTTACCTTGTATCTCTAGTTAACAACTTCAAGGGTTAACGAAATTGAATGAAAAATTTTAAATCAGGTTCGAATTCAAAACAATAAACCATTGAACAAGTAATCCTGACTAAAAATGTAATTTAGCATCTGAATATTTTTTATTCTCTGTGATGTAGAAATCCACCAAACCCTGCTTAGACATGATTTAGGTGAAATTTTTTAACACTCTTAAAGGGACTGCCAGCGTAATTTCAAGTGTCCTTCGATGCATACACAACTGTGCCCTGAAAACGTTGTTTGATCATGTATGAATTCGATATCATTGTTTTATATTTGATAACTTATTATTTTCAATTTTAGGTTCTCTTCAAAACTGACTTATGTAAAGGTTTCAAGGGTACTGTTGTGAATCGGGAATTGCCATATTTGCATAGAGGATCACTTGAAATTGTGTTTACAGTCCCTTTAAAAATCTGCTTCTGCAAATATTTACAAATAGAAACAGAGAGTTCTCTAGTCCTTGGTTGTCCACAGTGTGTCAACAAAACCGATTTTAAAATAATTTTATTTCATGAATTGAATTGAATATTTCAAAGTGTTTTTTACACATGAGATCCATAAAACTGTGGAAGAGGAGGACGATATATATACAATTTATATGTGCAGTTTAGGGAATCTGAGTACGCCGCACAATTTATATTATTGGACATTTCAGATCAGAGCTTGAGTCTAATAGAATGTTTTTTTTCTTGAAACACTTACCCTAGCAAAAGAAACCTGAAAACTTTGTTCGTAATTTAGCGAACGCTATAGAAAACATTTCTAAATTATGAATATGTTTTTCGAAATTATGGACAAGGTATTAGGAATATATCACAAATTTTTTATCTCTATCATTTTGTTTACAATTTCGAAAATATATATTTTCATTTTATAATGCTTTCGCGAAAAATAAAAGGGGGTATAGGCTGATACGAAACAAATTTATTTAAAACGACGATTTTATGTCCGCATGGTGTCTCTCCTACGTAAAACCATCGAAACATCGAGAGCAGAGACACCTGGCGGTCAACTAATCGTCGTTTAAATTGCATAAAATATAAAACTAATAAAAATTATATGAAACATCACCTATTTACTAATGCATCGAATTGCATTGACACCTATAGGTTATAATATCTGAAAAACCAATTTTAGAATTAATTTAATTATTTAAGATCTGAGTTGAATAATGTAACTCTGTGTATTTGTATGGACGCTAAGCTCTGAGGTAAAAGACATTTTTAACCATTTTCTCCTTCTGGACGCAACAGATAATAGTATAATAAATAGTAATCGATATCGAATTCGATTCGATATAAACCTATACCCCCCCCCCCCTTCATTTTCAAAAGATCTTGATCAATATTTACATGTTTTCCGTGACACCCTATTTGGCCCGGGTTCAATAAACCCATTGTTTGTAAACCGGGTTTGTAATATCAATCTTTATAGGTTTCACTCAATATACAGTACAGGGACATTATAACCCGGGACTATTATCAATCTTTATATTTTCAAACTCAATATACAGTACAGGGACATTATAACCCGGGACTATTATCAATATTTATAGTTTTCACTCAATATACAGTACAGGGACATTATAACCCGGAACTATTATCAATCTTTATATTTTTATACTCAATATACAGTACAGGGACATTATAACCCGGCACTATTATTAATCTTTATCTTTTCATACTCAATATACAGTACAGGGACATTATAACCCGGGACTATTATCAATCTTTATATTTTTATACTCAATATACAGTACAGGGAATTATAACCCGGGCCAACTATTATTCAATTTATAGTTTTACTTAATATACACTATTATCAATCTTTATATTTTTATACTCAATATACAGTACAGGGAAATTATAACCCGGGACTATTATCAATCTTTATATTTTTATACTCAATAAACAGTACAGGGACATTATAACCGGGCCAGATATTATTCTTTATAGTTTTACTTAATATACAGTACAGGGACTCAATCTTTATAGTTTTCACTCAATATACAGTATAGGGATATTAATCATAGTTTAGCTTATTTACTTAAACATAAACATTAATTGCACATCCATAATTCGACTTCTAGGATTTTTTTTTCAGTAGAGAGGGGGGGGGGGTCGTTGGACGTCCCCCAAATTTTATCTCTCTTTGTATAGATTATTAAGCACCCCATTTAGATAGTTTATGACGTCTTTAATGGCAATTTGAAATTTTGAATAAAAATTATTGACAAAAAGGCTAAAATCATTTCTAGGAAACTTCACTCCACATTGATCTACAGGTTGCACACTCTTACGCTAAAATTGGTGAGAATTTTGCCAATTACGTCTTAAAGACTGAAGCTAAAAACGAGTACATTGTAGTTGTAGAATGTGCATATCTAGAGATACAAAAAGTAGAAGTGATTACGTGAGATAAGAAGACCAAGGTGTTGCGACACTTTATAGTCGACCAAGTTTCGAAAATTTATGCTTTTATTAAAGCAATCTGGATCTTTGTCAATCCATGCCGCCGCCCACAGTCAATGCAAACTATAAACTGCAAAGTGTTGCACGAAGAGTAGAATGGATGAAATTTGTGTAAATGTAAAGATTAATTAAAACAAACTGGATTTTCTATAATACACTCTGCTACTCTTAAATATTTTTTTGATAATGCACCCTGTTGATTATTTTTGATTTAGACTTTTTATGATACACCCTGTAGTTCAATACCCCTGTCCTATACAATTCATACAATCTATATAGCCAAGCTGCCAAGCACGTATACCAACTCATTCTTTTCTTGCAGTTTCTTAAACTAATTAACATTTAAATCTCTCAGGATGTCTCGAAATTAAACAACGTCACAGAATTTTTCCCGCATTTTTTTGTTTTGACAAAATCCTTGGGGGGGGGGGGGGGGGCCCTTCTCCCCCCCTTAATTTTGAATTTTTGTTCCTATTTTCAGAATAGCTTGTCAATAGCATTCTTGAGGGAAAGAAGCCCTAGTGCAAAACAGGAAAAATATTTGTCTTAATGTAGTTTTTTAGTCTTTAGTCATTAATTTTGACTCTTTATGAGTCTTTTAAGTCAAAAAAAAATTTTCACCTGCGGCGCGATTTTTTGTTCCTAATTATGAATTTTTTTTGTTCCTATAAAAATCTTCCCCCCCTCACTTAAATTCTGTATCTTCCCCTACTTAAATTATCATCAAAATTTCAAGTTTGTGCCAGTGTTCCAAGATCTCTAGATTTTTACAAAATGTCGTCGTTTTAACAGAATCCCTTTAATAGACACTGGGTCTCAAGTAGAAAATTTGGTTTCTATCTCATAATTGTATCCCCTTCTGTTTCTATTTTTGTAGTCATATCCCCTTCCAGTTGCCTGACCGCCTCCTAAGAGAGTGGACCTATCCTATGTGGTCCCAGAATTACAGCCTGGCGGAGCGCTGAGTTTAGTCACACATCTCATATCCTACAGGGGAAGCATGGAATGTACATAAATTAAAACAAAACTTCATCCTCTGCAGCTTGGTGTACTGAAAGAATGAGTTTAACCCCTGATGGGTATACAAGCCATGCACAAAGATACCGGTTTTTTACTTGACCAGCTGTGCAAGGACTGGACTGCTATGGAAGATTCCTCTCAAGAGAGCTTCAGGACTTACAACACCGGATTTGCATACGGGGTGCAGTTGTGGGTTTCCTAATCCCCTTTAACTTGGAAAGAGTATAATAAAGAAGGACAACAGGGAGCAATTCCCTATACCCTTCCTCCTACAAACTTCCTTAGCTCTCTCCTACCTGCTCCACAACTCAATGCTCCACTTTATTTGGAAAGACCTTAAAGTGTTAAAAATGAGATGAACAAGAAGAAAGAAGAAAATATTAAACAGGAAAATTAGAAGGGGTGTTTTAAGCTTTGTAGTGTCTTTTTTACTGATAGAGAATAAAGACGAACACCAGATGGGAGACGTCCTCCTCCCCCTTTCATACATTCTACCAGAAGTCAAATGTTCTAGAAAGGGTGTAGAATCTGAGGCAAGTAAAAATATCTGCAAGTATTGTAATGGGATAGGAGAGGGTAGTGCTTGCTCACCCCCCCCCCCCCTTTCCCCAAGAATTCAATATAGGAGCCCCAAGAAAAGAAAGCTAGTCAGCTAGATCAAGTGGGTATAGGGTCAGAAAAAGGCAAGATCTTTTTAAAAATAGTTCTTTCTTGTAAAGTAGCTAGTTACAAGGACATCCATTTTCTTTCTTTTCAAAATTAGTCGTATATGATGGAAAGATGTATTAAAGATCTACGAACAAGAAGAAAAGGAAGAACAAAAAATATTGAAATCTCAAAATATTTTCATCTGATATCATATAAATATTTAAAAATATTTTAAAATTTAACTAAAATAAATTATCGATGTTACCTTCTGTTTCTATCTTAAAGTAATGTCCCTTTCTGTTTATTTCTCATAGTCATAACTCCTTCTGTTCCTATTATCAAAGTCATAATCCCCTAATGTTTCTTTTTTCTTATTCATATCCCCTTCTGTTTCTTTCTCACAGTAATATCGCTTTCTGTTTATATCTCATATTCATATCCCCTTCTGTTTCAATCTCATGTTCATATCCCTTCTAATTCCATTTTATGTTCATATCCCTTTCTGTTTCTATCTCATAGTCATATCCCCTTCTGTTTCAATCTCATATTCATATCCCTTCTAATTCTATCTTATATTCATATCCCCTTCTGTTTCAATCTCATATTCATATCCCTTCTAATTCTATCTTATATTCATATCCCTTCTAATTCTATCTTATATTCATATCCCTTTCTGTTTCTATCTCATAGTCCCCTTCTGTTTCTATATCATATTCATATCCCCTTCTGCTTTTTTAACACATAGGCATATTCCCTTCTGTTTCTTGTAAAACTTAAAAATCTAGTTTTATTTTAACACAATGTAAAGCAGAATACATAAATACATTTTTAAGATTGAAATCTTAAAAATAATAGTTTTGTGTTAAGTGTTAATTGTTAATATTTAAATTGTAATTAAAAAATCAGTCGAGAGTAGGACCATGCTTTTTTAAGGGGGGGGGGGTGTCAAAATATATTTACTTCAAAAAATGTCAGATGTATGCATTCATACTTAATCTTTGGGTATTGGGCTATGTAAAAGTATTCAATAAGTAATATATAAAGTGTTTTTTTTTGTGTGGGGAGGGGAGAGTAAAAAATCTTTACTCCAAAATTTAAAAAGCAATACCAACATTTTTTTTGTCTGGATAAGCAGTCCCAGTTTAGGTGGTCAGCAAACTAAAATATAATTACTATACACGTAGTTTTAAAGGTTAATCTTATGCCATATACATAGGATAGATGGATCGATAGAAAGAGAGACAGATATAGAGATAGATAGATAGATAGATAGATAGATAGATAGATAGATAGATAGATAGATAGGTAGATAGATAGATAGATAGATAGATAGATAGATAGATAAATATATAGATCGATAGAGAGATAGATAGATTGAAAGATAGATAGATAAATTTATATATATTCTCTGAAAAAGGCAACACTGCCCTGAATGAGATGATTTGTATGTAGATTATCCCAGATTACACCTATACACTAATAATACAGTATTTTCAACTCATGCAATATATAATTTAGTAAATTGGAAGAGGGAGCCATTTTTGTTCATAAACTTTTAAGATTTTGTTGAATTCATTGTCTATGGGGTCATGCATGTAACATAAAAAAGTCAAAATGGAGACACAAGTGTAATAAATACAGTGGCAGATCCCATAGTAACCCATATCAATTACATTGTACATTATCCGTAAATTTAAATACGCTTATCAGTAACTATTCAAATCTTGCATCACGATTAACCTCACCTTGATCCATCTATAAATAACTACATCTAACCTATGAGTGATTAGCTTAACTACGTTTGTATATAAAGATGCAAAACTTGTAATTATTCTATTAAACTTGCTCTGCAACCTAGAACCCAAAATACACTCAGTTGGAATAGACTCCAATGACAGGCTGTTTTGCAAGCTTTCTCTCTGTAGCAGACAGAATGCCGTCAGATCAGCTGTGACAAGGAGAGGTAAATTTCGATAATTCAAACTTTATGTAGATACATTATTTTCATAGTATGTTTATTTTAAATAATTAATAAAATTTGACACCACAAATAATTCCCGAGATTTTAAATGTACAAATATAAAAAATTTTACGAAATTTACAATCATCAGCTGCTGAAGACTTGAGCCTTAAAGAGAGTAAAAGCCAAGAGGGTTGGTTCTTACTAAACTCAAGGACATCCAAACCCCGGGTCTTGACTTGAGCTTTACTTGGGTCTAAGCAGATGCAAAGACCGAGTTTTAGTTTGGTTTAAGCTTTTAAAATCTCATCTCTGATTTGCTCTTATGCCTCGTAGACCAACAAGAATGATTGAGTTGTAGCTGGATTGCTACGGGTCAGAGAGACTTTTATGGAGTAGGGTATTTACTACACACAGTGAATAACGATTCAAAATCATGATAATTAAAAACCTGAGGCATAGAAAATGAATTATGTAGGTGTTGGTTCCACTTTTTTTTTGAAAATATATTTCGATCTGGGTTAACCGTCTTTATATATTTATTTCTGTCATGAAGAATCAAAACAAACAAAAACTTTTAACCA